CATGTGAGTATATTGTGCATTAAAAAGGAGATTATGGGCCAGACTCAGTGGTTCAGCCTGTAATCCCAGCACATTGGGAGGCCAAGGCGAGTGGATTGCCTGAGCCCACTGGTCCGAGAACAGCCCGGGCAACTTGGCAAGACCTTGTGTCTACAATAAAATGAAATAAAAAATTAGCTGGGTGTGGTAGTGTGTGCCTGTAGTTCCAGCTACTTAGAATCCTGCGGCAGAAGGATCGCCAAAGCCCAGCAGGCCAATGCTGGGGTGGCCATGAGTGTGCCACTGCATTCCAGTCTGGGCGACAGAGTGGCTCTCCAGCCTGGGCGACAGAGTGAGACTCCAACTCAAAAAAAAAAAGGGAGATTGTGAATAGTAAAAAGTCATCCTACAGAATGGAAGAGAATATTGCAAGTCATATAGCTGGTAAGGGTCTAATTTCCAGAACATATAAATAACTCTTACAATTCAACAACAAGAAGACAATCTAATTTAAAAATGGGCAAAGGACTTGGATAGGCATTTAATTATAGAAGAAATACAAATAGCCAACAGGCACATTTAAAAACGCTCAACATCATCAGTCATGAGAGAAAGAGAAGAAGCCCAAATTATAGACTCAAGCCTATAATTCCAGCACTTAGGGAGGCCGAGGTGAGAGGATTGCCTGAGTCTGCAGGTTTGAGACCAACCTGGGCAACATGGTGAGACCTCATCTCTACAATAAATCAAAAAAATTAGCTGGGAGTGGTAGTGCACACCTGTAGTTCCAGTTACTTGGAAGGCTGAGGTGGAAGAATCAGCTGAGAGCCCAGCTGGTCGAGGCTGCAGTGGCTGGGAGCATGCCACTGCACTCTAGCTTGGTCAAAATAGTGAGACTCCAACTCAAAAAAACAAAACAAAACAAAACAAAACACAAAGAGATACCATTTCATACCCATTCAGATGGCAATTTAAATAAACAAACAAACAACACACACACACACACAAAGACCCCCCAGAAATTAGCAGTGTTGGTAAGGGTGTAGATAAACCAGAACCCTCTAACATTGCTGGTTGAAATGCAAAATGATACAACTAAGTTGGAAAATTTGATTGTTTCTCAAAAAGGTCAGTATAAAATTGCCGTATGGCCCAGCAATTCTTCTCCTAAATATATACCCTAAAGAACCGGAAAAAGGTATTCAAACCAAAACTTGTATAGAAATGTTTATTATAACAGCTCTATTCATAATAACTGCAAGTGGAAACAACCCAAATATTCATTAATTGATGAATGCATAGACAAAATGTGGTCTGTCCGTACAACGGAATAGTATTCCGCCATAAAAAGGAATTAAGTCATTTGTATACCTAACCCTGAATTGTTCCCCACATCTTTACAATAAACAAATAAATAAATAAAATTTCAAAAGTAATGAAGTACTAACATACAAGAATGAACTGTAAAAACATTATACCAAGTAAAAGTCAGACACAAAAAGTCACATATTGCATGTTTTCATTTATAGAAAATATTTAGAATAGGTATATCCATAGAAACAGAAAACAGATGAATGCTTTCTCTAGAGGCTGGGGAGGGGTATGGGAAATGACTGCTAATGAACATGAGGTTTCTTTTTTGTGGTGATGAAAATGTTTCAGAACTAGCTAGACATAATGGTTGTACAACACTGTGAATGTACTAAATACTGCTAAATTGTGCATTTTTTTTTTTCAAGGCACTTCATCAGTTATTTGGCACATATGACAGCATTTCTTTGTCCCTGGGCCCAACACAATTTATACTTCATGAAACATATTATACATTTTACATAGTTTAATTTTAGAAATGCAGTTTGAGCTAGTTGATCTTTGACTTTGTGACTGCCTTATTTATTACTATGACGAATTCTCTTACATAAATTTTATCTCAATTTTTTTTTTTTTTTTTTTTGAGTTGGAGTCTCACTCTGTCGCCCAGACTGGAGTGCAGTGGCCGCTCCCGGCCACCGCAGCCTCGACCTGCTGGGCTCCGGTGATCCTTCCGCCTCAGCCTTCCTAGTAGCTGGAACTACAGGCGCGTGCTACCATGCCTGGCTAATTTTTTAATTTATTGTAGAGATGAGGTCTCGCCAAGTTGCCCAGGCGAGTCTCGAACCCGCGGGCTCAGGCAGTTCCCTCACCTCGGCCTCCCAAAGTGCTGGGATTACAGGCTGAGCCACCGAGCCCGGCCTCAATTTTTTTTTAATGTGGGGCAGCAGGAAGGAACCATCTGAAATTCTGTGCATCTCCCTCTTGAGTTGGGTACCTGGTCAGTGATAGTAAACTAAGTGAGTAAGCTAGTTCAGCTGACAGGTAAACACATCCTCCAGTGTCTTGTGCAAATAAAAGCCCTTGCCAGCGTAGGCAAGTACTTTCGTTCTCATGAAACTGTGGTCTTGAAATGTGTCACTATCTCCCTCGTTTGTAATACAATGGTCAGTCTCATTCCACTTGTGGGCAATATCACTGAAGTCTGTCTAAAAGGAGTAGCCAAGAATTGGCAGGCCAGGGCCCCATTAAACTTGATGTGTTTTTGTTTATTCCATACCAGACTCCTAAAACTTGATATTAGTTAAAATTGATGTTTCACAAAAATCCAGTCTTCTGGGTTATCTAAGGGGAAAAATTCTGACAGTCTGGTGACCCTGGCCCACATTACTATGTGGTAACAATCCCCAGGGATTGACAGCAGGTCTCCCCTTGTGACTGGATAGGGATGAATTCTCTATTCCTTTTCTCCTATGTGTTACCAGCCAGCCTATTCACCCTCCTTCTTGCCCATCACCCCTGTACCACCACAGCTGAACAGAAATTTCACCTTTAGACCCTATTTTGAAGACATTGTTTACAAAGTCTCCTATCCAAGTGTAAAACTGCCATTTGGAAGAAGGCGGCAAAAATCCTTAGCACAATCATTTTTCCCATGGCCAAGAAGGAGGGTGCTGGTAAGGATCTCTTAATTTGTAGGTGGGATTGGGACAGAGGGAAGAAGCCCAGATAAGATATTACCAGACTGGTCGCAGTGTCCTGGTCTGTGGGGAGAGGTTGGTGGTGGGCTGGATGGGCTAGCGCAAAGCAGTTTCTCCTCCCCATTGGCACTACAACTTTCTCTGTCAATTTCACAATGTTCCTTGGGGGCGGTCCCCCTTCTCTGCATGGGCTGCATGGCTGGCTTTTGAACACTTTTGTGTCCTGCAGCGCCACTTCACCATACAAGTCCAGGTAAGGCCAAATTCCAAAACTTCAAACTCTCGGAATCCTGCCAGGTGGTCACAATGGCACCTTTGTTGCTTTGTTGTTATGTAACCTAGCACCTGTGGGACCTTGCTTTTGTTTTGTTTTGTTTTTGTCTTATTTTTCTCGTCGTATATGCAATTTGGAAAGAAACCAGGGTTTGGGGACTATTTTGTCAGTCTCTAGAAGTTCAGTTTTCTTCCATAAGATGGAAAGGGACTACTCCAAAGTCAGGTAATAACCAATCAAGGGGTAGAAAAGTACTAAGAGTGACTCAGGATTTCTTGTGCCTGTTCCTGCCCCCACACAAAATTCCTATGCCTTATAGCCTTCCTTAGACTAGAGTGAAATGTTTCCCTTAATGGAGAATGTTCCAGATGCCAGCTAATGGCAGCTGCCCAAAGCTCTAAGGGCTGCTATGATCTTGATCTGATAAAACATTTTAACGGGCTTGCTTTGCTCTTTTGATTCTAAGTGGATTGTTTGGCTTCGCCTCTGAGATACTGTTCTGCCAGGTGTTGCAGTAAACTGTGAAGAATGCAAATTCTGAGCTCTATTTGCTGTCACCTGTAAGGCATCAGACAGATTTGATCTCTTTGAACTATGTGATTTGATCTATAAGAAAAAGTGCGCTAAGATATTTTGTAGATTTTAATAGAGAAGCAGCAATGGAGGACGGTGTGTGAACTTGGACAAGTCACTTTACCCTGGCAGCATTCATTTTCTCTTCTGTGAAATACTACTGTATGGCATTGCTTGAATTAAACAAACCACACAAACACCCCAGCCCAGTGCTTGGCATATACTAAGTGCCTATGTGTTTACCGCTATTTTCTTAAGTGAGACTAAAAGCTGTAAGATAACAGCTATCCAGGAAAAGATGGTTTTAGCAAAGGTATGTTCCCAGGACCCCAAGTTAGTCCCTCCCACTAAAATAGTTTGCAACTATACGGAAAGCTGGGTTGGAGAAAGCCTTTGTTGCTTTTAGTTTCTCGACATCTCTTCCTGGCCTAACTCTCCAGTGTGTCGGGTCCATTCTCCAGCATCATTTCTGTGTACCTGGTTAATGTTAGCCTCATGGAAAAATGATTCCTCTGGGATCCCTAGGGGAGAGGATGTTGGACATGGCAAGTTATGATGCCATTGATCTCTGAAGCCTTTCTGATACTTCGAAAAATAAAGCAGTAAGCAAGGCTTATCTAGTCAGCAGGAAATATCCTTCATTAAAAATGATTAATTTCTGAAACCTATGATGTCATCTCTACAGAGATATTTGGACTATATGTGGGAAATGCAGTCAGATGAGTCCTTCCTGACCCTAGGCCAGCCTGGGCCGAGGAAGTCTCTGGCACACTCTTCCTCTGACCACCACACTTGTTGGATCCAGCAGGCTGCCTTCTTCTAGGCTTTCTGTGCCAAAACATAAAAGGGCAGTCATTTCTCAAAATTATCTGGGAAATGATTAACTTGTTTCCTTTGATCCTTTCCACTTTGTGCAAGGACAGTCAAGTGGTAGGGATGGAGAGTACATTCTATTATTTTCAACATTGCTAAGGTAAATAGTGGGAGAAATTGTGCTGCTAGAGAGGTGCAACTCTATTTGGAGGGTTTGGAGGAGTGTGTGTGTGTGTGTGTGTGTGTGTGTGTGTGTGTGTGTGTGTGTCCTTTTACAAACATAAAACTATTGAGTAAAAAAAAATGCGGCCATTTCCTCTAAATTTTTCTTTCCCCCGTTTTTTTTTAAGGTCTGAATTTCCTGCTGCTATTCACAAAGATGCTTTTTATCTTTAATTTTTTGTTTTCCCCACTTCCAACCCCGGCATTGATCTGCATTCTGACTTTTGGAGCTGCCATATTCCTGTGGCTGATCAACCGACCTCAGCCACTCTTATCTCTTATTGACCTGAACAATCAGTCTGTGGGAATTGAGGTAACTTACCAGTCATCTTTTTGATCAAACTCAAACTGTAATTCCTGGGGATAACTCATGAAGGGGATTGGGTGTAGCATAGAAAAGTAAGCCTCTTAGATTACTGGTCAACAGACAATTTATAAATGTAAACTTCTATTACTGGCACATCTTTCTTTTTAATAAGGAAGGTTTGTACGATTCTGTTAATCTAGACCAGCATTGGCAAACTATAGTCAGGAGTAAAAGCCACCATTTTCCTGCAACTATTATGTTAAGAATAGCTTTTACTTTTTTAAAGCAATGAGTAAAAAGCAAAAATGAGAATGACAATACATGTTTCTCAAAGCCTAAAGTATTTTCTGTCTAGCCCTTTACAGGAAAGTTTGCCAACCTCTGGATCTAGACGATAGAGTCAGTACTTTGGGGGCAGAAGAACATTTTCATTGAGATAACCAATGTCTAAGAAGGGTGAAGATGTTATTTCCTTGAGTTAAATTAATTCTTCTTAAACCGCTAGAAGTTGAACATGGCTCACTCCCCTGGCTTTTAGCAAATCATCCAACTTCCTGTATCTATGAACAAACTGAAAGTTCCAACAATGTTCTTTTTCATCTTTCTTCTTCCTCTGTGCATATCTTCATTCATTTTCAGCTTCAACTCTCTTCAGAGAAAAAAAGCATTTCTGTTTCTTTACAATGCTAACCTCTCCTGATCTGGTTTTTTTTCTTTGTGTCTGTGTGTTTGTTTGAGTTAGTGTTTCACTTTGTCACCCAGGATAGAGTGCAGTGGCAGGATCACGGCTCACTCCAGCCTCTACCTCCTGGGCTCAGGCAATACTTCTGCCTCACCCTCATGAGTATCTGGGACTACAGGAGCACACCACCACACCCAGCTAATTTTTGGAGTTTATGTAGAGACAAGGGCTCATTGGTCTTGAATTCCTGGGCTCAAGCAATCCTCCCGCCTTGGCCTCCCAAAGTGCTGAGATTACAGGCATGCGCCACCATGCCCAGCCCCTTCTGTTCTTTTCACAATCTTCTTTCACATACTCAGGAATCTTACTCAAAGTTACCTCCACTCTCCAATCCAACCGCTGCTTTTTTATACATCTGCATATTCAGTTTCTTCATTGGCATCTTCCTAGCCTACTGCATTCCATCATCTCCTCTCACGTTTTCTCTTTCCCACCACAATTCTTTAAGGGTAGTTTACTTGTTGATTTCCTCTTCTGAACTTCAACCCCCTGAGATCTGATCTTTCATTACTACCATCTCCTCCAAAGTGCTCTTGATCACTCATGACCATACTTCCAAATTCAATATCTTCCTCAGCCTTTCTCTTAATTGACTTCAGACTTCTTTCTTGAAACTCCTCCTTTTGCTTTTCATAATAATCTTCAGCCAGATTTCTTCTTAGTTTCCTGGCAGTCTTCTTTTGTCACTTAGGTTATTTTCTCTTCAGATCCTAGGGTTTTATACTCAGCATCTCTCAATTACCTAAAGCAGGGGTTAACAAATATATTCTACAAAGGTCAGGCAGTGAATAGTTTAGGTTTTATAGTTGCTCTTTTGCATCTACTTAATGCCACTATTGTAGAGTGAAGATACAGTAGTAGACAATATGTAAATGAAAGAGCAGGACAATTTTCCAATAAAACTTTATTTATAAAAGTAGTTGGTAGACCAGATTCAGCCTGCAGATTGTAAAGTCTGCCAACCTCTTCTCTAACCCCTCACAACTGAGAAAATGCCTTCTCTTCTATGACTTGAAAAGGTCCCCAAGACTGTGACACCGAAACCTGACTTTTTAGTTTTGACCTCAGTGATGTTCAAGTAACTTCATCTCTACAAGTCTCTTTCTTGCTCTTCTCCCTAAACACACACACACACGCGTGCGCACGCACACACGCACACGCACACACATACACACGTACCTTTTCCTGTTCTATCTCCTTATCCAGCTGCCTAAAGTTAAGAGTCTAAATCATTTTTTATTCTTCCTTCTTCCTTGTCCCATGAATATAAACAGACAGCAAGACTCCATCTTCCTTCACTAGGTAAGGAACTTTATTTTTGATGCCTTGATGTGATACACCATGGAAATTCTCCTTGATGTTCTAGAGTAAGTCAGATCTCTTGCTACTGTAAGTCAGACCACAAGTTACTCTGTACTATAATGTTGTAGCCTTCATCTTGGCTAGTAATTTATACTTCCTTCATGCTTATTTAATTGGTGCCTATTCTTCTCTAGACTAACCTTCATGAGGGTTGGACCATGCCTGTTGCTCCTATTGCAGTTCCAGGATTCATCCCAGTGTCTGCTCCTGTAGTTCCTGCTGACAATCTAGAAATTGTTCCCTAGTTACTTCTCTTTCTCAAATACCCTGTTCTCTAACTGCCCACTGGACTCGGTGCTGTGTTTTCTTGTTTTCATGTCTTTGTTCAAGCTGTTCCTTCACTCTGGATTGTTCTTCCTTTTTTCTCCTCCACCCTACCCAAACCACATCTTTTTTAGTAGATGCCTACTTGTCTTTGAAGTCTCTATTGAAATAGTATTTACAGCTGGGCATGGTGGCTCACGCCTATAATCCCAGCACTTTGGGAGGCTGAGGTGAGAGGATTGCCTTAGCCCACAGGTTCAAGACCAGTCTGGGCAACTTGGTGAGACCTCATCTCTACAATAAATCAAAAAAATTAGCCGGGCACAGTGGCACTTATCTGTAGTTCCAGCTACTTGGAAGGCTGAGGCGGAAGGATCGCCTGAGCCCAGTAGGTCGAGGCAGCAGTGGCTGTCAGTGCGCTACTGCACTCCAGCCTGGGTGACAGACTGAGACTCCAACTTAAAAAACAAGCAAAAAAAGAAATAGCATTTATTCCCTCTAAACTCCACTGCACTCTGGTCTGGGCGATGGAGTGAAACTCCAACTCAAAAAAAAAAAAATACAAAATTGAGTGCTTCATGTTTCCTTCAAATCCTGTATTTATTTTCATCATAGCATGTATGTCACAGTATTATATTTGCATTGTTTTCTTATTACCCACCCATATGCCTAACACCCTAGTTTATGAGGCGCTCAAGAGCCGCCATTTTGTCTTAACTCACATTTACAGTATTTGCATAGTGCCTAGAACACATAATATGCATGCAGTAGAAGTTTAAACTTAGTATGATAAGCAGATGTAAAACTAAACATATAATCTACCCTCCATATATGACATATATAAATACATAGATACATACATATACACACACATTCATATGTATGGCAGGAGGATTACCACAAACATAACTGACGATCTCTGAGTGATAGGATTACAGATCAAATTTTCTTGTCTTTTTTATACTTTTATATTTTCCACATTTTTAATGATGTGAGCATAATACAATTTTGAGGTTTAAAAATTGATTTAATCAAAGAGAACACGCCTATGACCTCAAAACCAGCATTTATGCCCTTTTCATGTCAATCCATAAAGGTTTGGAAAGGGTCGGGGGAGATTTGGACTGGGCCTAAACTTGGTCTTGTGTCTTAGGGAGGAGCACGGAAGGGTGTTTCCCAGAAGAATGCTGACCTAATACGTTACTACTTCTCAGATGCCAAGACTATGTATGAAATTTTCCAAAGAGGACTTGCTGTATCTGGTAAGCCTGGTAGTCTTTCCTTGCCTAAAGAAGACTGAGGTGGGATCTGTTCCACACCTCTTCTTCCCTGTTCCATTTCTAAAACCCCAGCTGTTTAGATGCAGTGGTCTGAATGGAATCACGAAAAAGTAGAGGAGACGTTAGCACCATGTCAGGATGGGTGCTGGAATGAGGATTGGACAGTCTCAGATTTGAAACCCAATTCTTCCGTTTTCAGCTGTGTAACCTCTGCAAACCACCTTTTCTTTTTAAACCTGTTCCTCACAAAACATAAGAACTTCTCTGCTAAGTTGTTGTTAAAGAGCCAAGGAGATAATAATGTGTGGAAATGTATTTTGATTAACTCAACAGTACATAACGTTTGTTTAGAAACATGCTTTTCATAATTGCATTTACAGACAGAAAATCTGAGCCAGGGCTAACAGTCAGGACTCCTGACCTCTTACCTTGTCCTTGACTCCTATACCATAATACCAGCCCATGCAGCCACTCTTAGGATCACAGAAGGCAATTATCTTTGGACTTTCTTAGAAACGCCACGAAATGAACTTTGATAAGTTCATTTGGAATACATCAAGCTCTAATATTTATATCTTGTATCATTTAACACAATTCTAGGCATACAAGTTTACTCCAAAATCAAAGGGCTTACAGCTCTGTCCATGCCTTTTTTCCTCTGAGTGACATTCTGCCCAGGTATAGGTTTGCCTGTGTGACTGTTTTAGTCCTCCCTTCCCTTCTGTGTGTTAACTATGACTTTGACAATATTAATAACCAACTCCCCTCAAATGCAATAACTACTGTACATATACTGTCTATTTAATCTTTCCTAAACCCTAGGGATTAGCTACTATCACCCCAATGTTTACAGATGAAGAAACAGAGATTCAGAAGTTCAAGAACAGGGCCAAGGTCACAGAACTACAAAATATATTGGAGCTGATGCTAAAACCTAAGTTTTTTTGTTTGACTAGATGGTTATATTCTAGGTTAGCTCTTGTGTGTTTTTAGAAGTAGTTACTCCTCCAGATAATAAAAAGTTTATTATAAAGAAACCATCTACCTGAGGGTTCCACAGGGGCTTGTATGTAGTATTTCTGGCTCCAAATCAGCATTTGTTTAGTCTTCCATGCAAATAACAAATAGAGACAAGTTTCTTCTCTGGCTACTTAAGGTAGCATACAGCTAGTAAAGTAGAATTTATTTTAGGATTTTCTGTTTTTAGAAGTTTTCTTCATTGAGTGTGGATTATTATTATTATATTTAAAAACTAGTCATTTAGCTTGTAATATGTGGCACATAAAATTTATCATTTAGGATTTTTTAAATACTAAATTAAAACTAAAGCAAAATGATTAAAATGACTTCTTATCAAACAGGCATGAGAAATCCAGCATGGTTGCTTTCCTAGAAAAATGAAACTTCTGGATCTATCTGAAGCTGAATATGTTCGCCTGAATATATCCCTTTAACTCCTATTCAGTAGTTTGTGTTGAGTTTCACCTGGGCATATTGTTTAAAATATATGTCCTCTGGCTCCACCACCTTAGTTTCACTGACTTAAATTTTCAGATGGTGAGAATAAAATGTCTTCAGGAAACTTTGTATTTTACCAAAGTTTCCAGGGGATTATGTGTACCAGAGTCTGAATTCTACCTAGTTTGGGATGGCAACTCTGTCAAAAAGTTATTAACAGATGGGTTCTTTGTAGATGGCCACACCTTAGAACAGAGCAAGGTCTGAGTTGAAGAAGTTTATGAAAGGCTAGGCTGTTGCCTGATCCGGACTTTGGCTAATGGAGAGTTTAATAAGATCTGAGTTGTTGCCTCTTTGGGCCAATTATTTGACTTGTTCTTTGGCCACCAGTCTCTGCTAGCATTTTCATCAATTAGGAAGTGATAAAAAGATGCAGTATAGTTTCTTCCACATTCATCTCCTCTACCGCTTGCTAGGAGAGCTTGAAGAAGTGATTCCATTTCTCCATAATTTTTAGTACGATGGGAATGATAATAGTTGGGAAGACCAAACGAATTAATGTGTCTGACATGGAGTAAGCATTCAATCAATGGTAGCTTCCACTAGCAATTAGTGTTAGTACAAATGATCTCATTGGTAGACCACCCCAGGCACACGCCCTGGGAAAGCAGGTCTTTCACCATCTGACAAAGCAAGAATTGCCATGCTTCAGGGAAAGTTACAGTCTGAGACTTTCCTGCTCAGGCTTTCATACAACTGTTTCAACAGGAAGAAAAAGTACTAACAGTCTCATTCATTTTTTATATCTTCTTAATCAGAGTAGCTACCTCTTTCCTGCCTTCCTTCCTTTTTCCTCCAGTTCTTAGCCTAGACATTCACTTATTTGCCTCTGAATTCCTAGTAAACTTCTCCCTGAATACTTCCTTTTGTCAAGACCTGAATTCCTCTTAGCAATTTGGCTAGATCCCCTATATAAAATTTTCTTCCTTTCTATTTGTCTACTTATAACTTAGCCTCATTTTGGCTTAGATGTGGGGGGGCTTAGGGTTGTCCCTCAGCCTAATACCACAGTCTATGGCTTAGTTTTAAGAGCTGAGGCGATTATTTACCTCAAATGGTTGAGGTAAATAAATGGGTGTTTCCAGATTTATTTTAAGGAAGACTAAGTACTTTAGATATTCAAAAGTTTAATTTTTCTATTGTCAAATGTGAGACACAAATTGGAAAAATATTGAAGGCAAATGTACATGTGTGTATGAAGGGCAATCCAAAAAACCCCATCAGCATCAGTGTACCAGCTAGTGCTGTTGTGGGAAGATGCATGTGGCTTCAGTGAATTTTTTTTTGGAGATTCTTTCAATACATTTGCCTGTTTCATGATCGGTGATATGTGAGCACTCCTGCCCACACCGTGCTGAGTGTTCAGTAGTTTTTTTTTTTGTTTGTTTGTTTTTTGTTTTTTGAGTTGGAGTCTCTCACTCTGTCGCCCAGACTGGAGTGCAGTGGCTGCTCCCAGCCACCATAGCCTCGACCTGCTGGGCTCCGGCGATCCTTCCGCCTCAGCCTTCTGAGTAGCCGGAATTACAGGTGTGTATTCCCACCCCGGCTAATTTTTGATTTATTGTAGAGATGAGGTCTCGCCAAGTTGCCCAGGCAGGTCTTGAACCCGCGGGCTCAGGGAATCCACTCACCTCAGCCTCCCAATGTGCTGGGATTACAGGCTGAGTCACTGAGCCCGGCTTGTTCAGCAGTTTTTGACCAAAACCAGCATGATTCTCATGCCCCACCCTCCCTAGTCAACTGATTTTACCCCAAGTGACATTTTTTATTTGTTTGTTTGTTTCCTCGGATGAAAAAAGTCCTCAAAAGGAACATTTTGCCAATGTGCAAGAGGTGAAACAGAAAATGGCAGAGACACTAGAAGGCATCAAAATTGATTAGTTCAAAAACTGTTTTGAGCAAGAAAAGGCGTCTTGATAGGCATATTGCATCAAATGGAGAGTATTTTGAAGGTGACAGAAGTTTAAACATATAAGAATAAGCACACAGTTCTTATAAATAAATTCTGGTTTGGGGGCATCCCTCTTGTATGTATGTTCTTGTAGTTTTTTACGAACCTTGGTATCTTAGAAGATACTCTCATATAAACAGGCAAAGTACATGAACCGATGAGTCATGAGAGTAAATAAAACGTAACAAATAAGGAAAAAGTCTCACTTTAATAGCTGTTACAGAAGCTGAAACTAAAGTAATAAATTTTCAAAACTCTCAAACCAGAAGACATTTTTAAATGACACTATTTAGTGTCAATGAGAGTGTAATAAACTTGATATGTTGCTAGTGGAAGAAAAATGAATTGTTTCATCACTCTGGGAAGCAGGGTGGTGTTATGCTCCAAAAGCCTGACTGTTCTGAGTCAACTCACTTATTTAACTATAGGAACTCTAATAAAATGTTCTGAATCTGAAATTATCAATCTGAAAATACTTATCATAGTATTATTTAAGGTGTCAAACCTGGAAACAACCTAGACACTCACAATGAGATAAAGTCAACTACAGTAGAGCCGTTCATTCATTGATCATTGAAATATCTACAGGTAAGAAATAACATGGAAATATTTACATCAGACTGGGAGAGGGATACCACATTATTACAGGATACTACATTATTATATTCATTCCAAATACGTGGAATGAACATAACTCCGTACAACTGTGCAAAGGAACTATTGAAGGAATTATCAGTGTTAATAAGGGTATTTGTGTAATGAAATTAATGACTCATTTTGATTTGTTTCTATATTTTTATGAGCATATATTTATTTTATTATAGAAAAGTTCAGTCCAAGATTATTTAATATAGGCTGTTTGTGTTTATTTGTAGACTTTTACTTGGTCACATTATATGTAAACCAAATGAATTACTTTCTGTGAATGCTATATTACCATGGAGATCATATATTCAACACGGAACCATGCCTGTTTTGTAGCATTTCCTAAATGTATAGTTTATAAAACTCTCTGCCTTTGAGAACTGAGTACACATTGGCCTTTGAATTTCCTAGAAACATAAGAGAAGCTCAAATTCTTGTTTGATTTATCCTTTGTGTCATGCCTCTTCTCAATCTCCTTTTACATTTTCTGGTCCAAAGGATTTTAACCTGGAGGTGATTTTCTTTTAATGTTATGTTTTTAGACAATGGGCCCTGCTTGGGGTATAGAAAACCAAACCAGCCCTACAGATGGCTGTCCTACAAACAGGTAAGTCAGGCCCACGGTTTCACAAAGATTCTTTTGCTAATGTAGAATCCTGAGCTAATTTGATCTCTTTGGAGTCTTGACCTCTTCTCTCTCTCTCTCTCTCTTTGACAGGTGTCTGATCGAGCAGAGTACCTGGGCTCCTGTCTCTTGCATAAAGGATATAAGCCATCACCAGACCAATTTGTTGGCATCTTTGCTCAGAATAGGCCAGAGGTAACCAGGTTGAAGCTAACTAAAGGAAATGAGCCAGGGTTAAATTTTAAAATGTTGAATCCTAACCTTAATCCAGCATTCTGACACTTGTTGATGACTTACCAATGCTATTTAAAAACCTCATACTGCTTATTCTGCTCGAAAGAGTTACAACTCTGAACTCAATTTCCGGCTAGACATCTGGTACTCTAGTCTGGGTGTTTAGATTTCTCTCATTTCCCAGTCCATCATGGGTCATTTTAAGTCAGTTTGATTATAAAGGAAGCTATAAAAGACTGTCAAATAGGATCTTGAAGATATTGTGAAAAGGGATGTATTAGTACTAGAGGTGGAACTTTCATGTTGCACTTGAACTAGTAAATTAAGGCACCCATTGCTATTGAGTCTGGCCACAGCTACTTTTTCACAGTGAGTTGGAAGTAGATTTTAAATGGTAAGATGATGGAATTAAGCTTCCCCCCAAGTTCCAGCTCAGTCATTAGGCCCAATAGTCTCAGAGACAGGTTCTTTATGGTTTGGATGCTGAATAGTGTCAGTTACTTAAGGTACTGGTTACATTTTTAGGTGAAGCTGCATACTCCATTTTTGTTATACCTAGCCTTAATAGGAAGAGGTACACTTGACTCTAGTTTAGGAGCTTAACACCAAACCTAATGCAGTTGCCCCTTAAACAACACGGAGATTAGGGCCACCTCTATGCAGTCCAAAATCCACATATATCTTTTGATTCTCCAAAAACTTATGAATAGCCTGCTGTTGACTGGAAGCCTTCCCAATAACATAAACAGTTGATTAACACATATTTTTTATGTTATATGTATTATATACTACATTCTTATAATAAAACAAACTAGAGAAAAGAAAATGCTATTGAAAAAATATTTTTACTATTCATTAAGTGGCAGTAGATCATCATAAAGGTCTTCATCTTTGTCATCGTCACATTGAATAGGTTGAGAAGGAGGAAGGAAAGGAGAGGTTGGTCTTGCTATCTCAGGGGTGGCAGAGGTGGAGAGATGGCGACAGTGGAAGTAGAGGTAGGAGAGACAGACACATTCAGTGTAACTATATTGAAAAATAATTCATGTATAAGTGGATCTGCACAGCTCAAACCCATGGTGTTTAAGGGTCAACTGTATATTAGTTTGCTAGGGCTGCCATAATAAAATATATAGACTATGTGATTTAAACAACAGAAATTTATTTTCTCACAGTTCTGGAAGCTAGGAGTCCGAGATTAAGGTGTCAGTAGGTTTGGGCTACATTTGTATTATAGTTGTCGGTGTCTTATCTCCCTTACTTAACTGTACTTTATGGCAGTATTCGTGACAGGCCCTGCGGCCCTACAGTGATTTCTCCAGAGGTCTCTCTCTTGACTTGCAGATAGTTACCTTTTACAGCCTCACATGCCTTTTCTCTGAGCATTTACATCCCTGGCGTTCCTTTCTTTTCGTATAAGGAAATGATGAGGGTCCCACCCTTATGATGTCATTTGACCTTAATAACCTCTTTAAAAGCCCTATCTCAAATACTGTCACATTGGGAGTTAGGGCTTCAATGTGCATTTGGGGTGGACTAGGGGGACTGAAAGAAGGAGATGCGATTCAGTCCATAACACCTAGACTGACATTTGAGACCTACCATAGCAGATTCTGGTCTGCTAATGGTTCCATTTTCACTTCCCATCACTCTTCATGCTTGCTAATATGTAACACACAGTGATGCCATCCTATCTTTTTCATTCCCTTCTTTGCCTTATCTACCTCTATCTCCATAACCGAATCCTACCAGTCCTCTAAAGCCCTGTTCAATTTTTATCACTTTCCCCAAAGTAGTCCCAAATAGCCTCTACCTCACCCTTGAAAGTACTTCCGTAAAACCCCCTAATGCTTTCCCTACCTCTTACGTATGGAATATGTCACACTCTACTTTTGTATTCTGGTCTACCTTTGTATTATAGTTGTCTCTGTACCTCTTATCTCCCTTACTTAATCGTACTTTATAGCACTATCGGTGACAGTCCCTGTGGCCCTACAGTGATTTTCTTTTTTAATATCAGAGTTACCAAATAAACCTTTGTTGACTGAATGACTGAATTAATACTCTTTAAGGTGCTCCCCAGTCCTTACTTGAACTTTTCTCTGTTCAGTGGATCATCTCTGAGCTGGCTTGTTACACATACTCCATGGTAGCCGTTCCCCTGTATGACACCTTGGGAGCAGAAGCCATCATATATATTGTCAACAAAGGTAAAATTTCACTATTACGTTACAATTTGATTCTTTCATAATGCTGAGGAAGTCCTCAATCTCTGCTTTCTTTTTTCTTTCAGCAACTTAAAATGCTGTGGCCAAAATGCTCAAGTCTTTCTGGTTCTGCAGTATTTAAGATATAACTTACAGGGAAGTTCTAAAAAATCCATGAGGGAGAGATACACACATATGATAGGGTCAATGAAATGCTTCAGAGTGGCATAGTATAATAACATAGTTTTGATATAAGACTACTTGCTTTGAACATACTAGATAAATACCCATAGAGTGAGCTTAGTGGCCTAACTCATCATGGAGCTACAGATTTCATCTCCTACTCTTATAAATTCAAGTCAGTACAGTTAACCAGCATGTACCAATGTCTATGGTAAGTCTGTAGAAAAAATTGCCATTGTTAGAGAAACAAGTCCAAGTTCAATAGGCAAGTAACAGACCTTTCACATATCCAAGAGTCTATCCTGGAACTAGTAGATTAAGTGACGCCATTAGAAGCTTTCTATTTGCAAAACAACTATCAAGCAAATGCTAGCATTTAGAATCATAAAATGCTAAAAATCACATTTTACCCTTCTTTGGTTTCTATCCCTAATCCCCTTCTCAAAACAAAACATGTGGATAGGACCACACCCAACAATCTAGACACATTTTCTGAACGATTTTTCTTAAACAGAAGGAATTTCGTGGTTCCTCAAGAACTGTAAAACATGTTGGCAGCATGCAAGAAAACGATGTGCTTCTGTTTCAACTAATCTCATTTATTATCAATGGAATGTTTCAGGTTGTACATTGTACATCAGATCTGTGATGTAATCTTCTTTGGGGACCTGCTAGCTTTGAAATTTAAAAAAATCTCTTTCTCCTTGCAAGGCAGTCAGGTACTTAGCAGAGCAAGATTGTGACTGGCTCTATTTCTGCTTTCAGCTGACATCACCACAGTGATCTGTGACACGCCCCAAAAGGCATTGGTCTTGATAGGAAATGTAGAGAAGGGCCTCACCCCAGGCCTGAAGATGGTCATCCTTATGGACACCTTTGATGATGATCTGAGGCAAAGAGGGGAGCAGAGTGGAGTTGAGATATTATCCCTGTTTGATGCTGAGGTATGGATCTGAAATTCAGCATGCATCTTGAAGCCTGGTCCAACCCCCCAGGCAACTTGCAGGACATCTACACAAGAGCACCAGGCTGTTGTTCTCCAGGGGTGCTGTGTGAAAAGTACGTTAGAGTCATGCTGTGAAACTTTGAAAATAATTTCCTCAAGACAACTCAGAAACTCATGCCAGGGGAGTAAAAAGTTCTGTGGCTATCGGTATAGACTTCTAAGTAGGGAATGCATAAGTACAGACTTTAGTAATGGTTAAAGAGGTGGCTCCTGGAGCCAGGCTGGCTCAGTGCGCGTTCTAGCACTGTATCTAGTAGTTAGATGACCTTGGGCAAGTGACTCCACATCTCCCTTTTCTCATCTATAAAATGAGGATAAAAATAGTCCCTTCCTCAAAGAGGTCTTATAAAGAGTTAAATTAGTTAATACATGTAAATCACTCAGGACAGTGATGGGTATGTAGTAAGCCCCGAAATGTTACTATTCCAATCATTCAAAAAAAATTTAGTCATGGTCCTAGATGATTGAATCTCAACAGTACAATGAGAAGTTTGGATATTTGGGATCTGCCCCTTTTAGGTTGGGGTTCTAGAAAAACCTAGGGCTTCCATTGTGCCTGAATATGCTCCTGGGGCTGGTCCAGGCTGAATTTTGGTTATATTCCCATAAAGATGTTCTCATAGAAAAGAGAAAGAAGGGAAAGAGAGGGCTACATTTGGCATATTTTGTCCATCTCAACTAATGTCTTTCCTTCTTGGTTTTCTATTCATGTAGAATCTAGGCAAAGAGAACTTCAGAAAACCTTTGGTGAGTTTTCATCTGCCTGAACTTGGAGTCTTGCTATAATCAACTCTTACAGTTCATGGTAGACTAAGCCCTTGTGCTTCCTCCCCCAGCCTCCTAATCCAGAAGACTTAAGCATCATCTGTTTCACCAGTGGGACCACAGGTCAGTGCCCTTAGACTCCCAGTCAGCCAAGAACATGGTTTGAATCCTTTACCACTGGTGAGCTGGTAAATATGCCCCACAATGAGTCTTATCCTTCAGGGTTCACAACCTAAGATTTTGAGTGTAGAGTCTCATAGAAAGATACAAACACAAGTAAATAAACTTAATTGAATACACTAGGAGGTGTTTACATGCTATGGATTTCAGGGGCCTTTACAATGACATCAGAAATTCAACTTTTCCCCCCAACCCATTATTCTCCTAATTTGACACCACTGAAATGGTTTCATTCAATCAAGGTAACTCAGTGATAGTTCTCTACAAAGGACTCTCTCCCTCCCCCTACACCTACCCATTTACTAGAATGCTTAATAGATTTTTTTTTTTTTTTTTTTAGAGATGAGGTCTTACTCTAACACCCAGGATAGGTTGCAGTGGTTTAATCATAGCTCACTGCAGTCTTGAACTCTTGGGCTCAAGCGATTCTCCTGCTTTAGCCTCCTAAGTAGCAGGGATTACAGGCATGAACACTTAATGGTTTTTAATGTGGTCCATTATGGTTTACAGTTATATTCATTCATTCCAGTATGCCCAGTTTATAAGGTTTATAACCATATTACTAGGTAATATTGGTAGATCTGATGTTCCAAACATATTAGCACACAAGGGAGTTGGGGATACTGGATTTTTCTTTTCGACTCTGCTGCTATCTGTGCCCTGTGTGGTAGTAGAAAGCCAACAACGCATTTAGCAGTAGAATCTTTGGGGGCATTAATCATTCCTAAACAGAGGCATATACCATTCACAAAAAAGAAACAGTGATAGGAAAGCTCTTGGCTGTCTGGAATATATAACCAATTGAATCTAACTTCTTTCAAGGTCAAAGGCTACCTATTAGCTAAATAAAAGATCTTTTTCTCCACCTATTATTTCCTACAGGTGACCCCAAAGGAGCTATGCTAACCCATCAAAATATTGTTTCAAATGCTGCTGCTTTCCTGAAATGTGTGGAGGTCAGTGAAAATGAGCCTTTCATTAAAATGTGAATCTGTCGCAAGATTTTTACATTTGAAGTTAGAGGAGGCAGAGAGGGAAAAAAAACAGGTTAAAAGACTGAATGTGGACAAGCACTGGTATGGTCTATGTCTGGAGGACTGTCTTTTAGGATCACTACAAATCTCTATACTTCATGCAGTTCAAGTCACCTCTTAAGAGTTATGCAGTGTACCACCTCCACAACTGTGGAGGAGATAGTTTTTAAATCTCTGTTGGAAGAGAAAGCTAGCATTAATTCAATGCTGTCTCCTCTTTGTTCCCTGATCTATAGCATACTTTTGAGCCCACCCCTGATGATGTGACCATATCCTACCTCCCCTTGGCTCATATGTTTGAGAGGGTTGTACAGGTGAGTGTCGTCCGTTCTTAGCAGGTATGTGACAAGGGGGTCCGGCCTTGATAGTCCCATGTTTATTCCAAGGCAGCTACATAGCATTTACCATCCTTTCTCTGGTGTGAGAGGCACAGGCAAGGAGTTGGCTCATCTGAGTCCTAATTCTGACATGACCCCTAACTTGCTGTGGGGCCTTCCTCATTAAGTCTGTGTGTGCCCAAGGGGGCTAATACTTGCTCCTGCCTTCACAGGAGTGTGTGAATCCAGTCAGATCACAGTCGGGAACTTTCTATCTGTCTTAATTCTGAGTGGACACACAAGATATCATGTCTTCTTTTTTATTTTGCTAGAATTTTTGAAACTGTATAGGGTTGGAGAAAAGGAAGTTCCCCAGAGGGTCAGGGAAGGAACATTTAAACCATATAAGATATGATCCATCACCCTATGGGTATTTTTACACCACACCTCAGTGTGTAAGGTGGGGCTGTCAGCATGGTGTGTGTATGTGTGTGTGGGGGGGAGTGCCCCTCTGTGCATTGACTCCAGGCTTTTCAAGCCATTCTGAGGCGGATTTGAGAACTGAAAGCAATATCAGGTAGTGTGATTGGAAAGTCCTCTCTTTGCTCTCCCCTCAACCCTCAAATGCCTTTTCAACCAGCTTAGGGTTGATGCCTAACACCAACATGCAAGATTCAGTTCGTTGGGCTAAAGTGTTGATAGCTGATTAATTTAAAAATTGATTCTAATAAACTTTTTAAAAAAACCTTAATATATATGAAATTGGGATTGTCTTACAATTGAAGTCATGCCCTACCATAATTGTCTGTTTTCCTTAATACTACATAATGAATGTTGTCTTTCAAAGGATGTTACCCAGACCTGTGTTGGAATTGGTGGGGACCCACAGTCTTGAAGTCTTATCTGTCCTGCCACCTCAGCAGAAATAAATTTCCATTCTTTCTTGGGGGGAGGCTATCAGAGTCCTGGGTACCTGGATTGGAAAGGGGGGTGCTCTGAAAAGTCCCCATGATCCATGATCCTCAACTTACTTTCTTCATTCTGTTTAAGTCAGCTCCCACCCTCCTCCCCACCTCCCCATCTCCCCTTTCCCGCCCCAAGGAGTCCTTTGGCTCTGAGCTCTACTACTTGTTTTGGATTTTAGGCTGTTGTGTACTCCTGTGGAGCCAGAGTTGGGTTCTTCCAAGGAGATATTCGGTTGCTGCCTGATGACATGAAGACTCTGAAGCCCACAGTGTTTCCCACAGTGCCTCGGCTCCTTAACAGGGTCTATGATAAGGTACTAACCCTGAGATGAGGGACTGTCTGCGACTTAGGCCTATGCTAAGGTTCTTAGATACTCTATACTGCTAAGAAATTTGCTGTACCTCTACCACTCACCCCCAACAAATACCTACTGTCATGTTTACAAGTCCAGTCGTGAAAAGCCATTATAAATAAAATCCTCTGTCCTCTGGATAAGATTACTTGGACTTGATCTGGAGAAAGCTCAACTCAGAGACTTCAGGATTATTTTAATGTAGTACCCTAGGTGACTCTGTAGGTAAGTACTTCTTGACTACCTTTTGAGGACATGCTTATCTCTGTTGTCAAAGTTCAGCTGACTTCCTAGGAAGTTTTTACTCTGATTTCATAATACATTTTATTTCATAATACATTTTATTTCATAATACATCCTGGTTCCTGAGCTTCTTGCTGAGGACCCATGATAAACATTTCAGATGTATTCTCTCATTTAATCTTCATAAAAGTATAGTAAACTGCACAATTACTCTCCCTAATTTTTGATGAGGAATCTGAGCCTTGGAGGTTAAATAATGTGCTCAAAATCATATCTAATAAGGGGTAGGGCCAGAATCAAGTTTTCTCATGGTACTTTTAGTTGTCATTGATCTGTTTTTCACTAGATTGCAAAATGGTCATTTTTCTAATTGTCATTCCTCTTACATTCATTAGCTGAGATTATTCCATAAAGGCAAGACAAATATTTTATTCTTTCATTTTATTTATCAATCTTCAGAATAATGGATTGGTGCCTCAACAACCTTCGAAAGTAGTCAGTTAGGTTTTTTCTTTGTATTTTTAGGAACTAATGATTTTCATTTTTGTATTTCGGTCATTCTTCTTGATGTTCAAATTATCTCATCTTGGAAGTTGGGAGTGCTCATTAAGTTGCTCATGTGTCCTTCTGAAATGACCTATGTGGTCATTGATAGGTTCCTTGTTTTCTGGCAAAACAAGATGTCCCAACTCATCTTGTATATTTCTCACCCAATTCATAGATTGATTAATTTCTCCAAGGAGTCATTGGAGCTGGGATTTGAACCCAGGCAACATAATAACATCTCATAATTCCACAGGCTTGGAGTCCTAAGAAAGTAACATACAGCCATTCTTCACACTTTGAACTTCATCCCTGAGATTCTAACATTTCCTTTCATACTTGGGATTTTCACCAAGGGCTCCAGTGACAGGGCAGGCAGTGTTTGAGAACACAGAGGACCCCAGGACAATGAAAGCCAGGTTTCTAACAGAATCTCTAATAATTCTAACAGTTCCTCATCATACTATGAAGTATTAACTTGTGTTGTTATGATTTATGTTCATGTTATTGGACATTTTTTATTTTTTAGAGGTAATTATATTAATACACAGTTCACTTTTGTAATCTATTTTTTAAATGGAGGACCTTATCAGTACAAATCTATAATTCTAGCTCTTTGTCAATGACTTTTTGAGAGGGAGGGTGAGTCTTGTGAATGTTGAAGGAAGATAAACCTCTTATAGCTGAGAAAGGTGTCCAGAATGACATAATGCAGGAAGTATTAGAGTCTAGAACTTATAGAGAGATAGTGAGACATTGGTAAAATAATAATGCTATAGGTATAAGAAGATGCTTATATAGTAGAGCACACTTTACATTAGGAGGTGAGATAAGTAGCCCTAGTTGGCTGGAGGCCCAGAAGTGATAGTGTAAACATGGACGATGACCAGAGAGGCATTCTTCAGATTTTGAACTAGAAAAGAACTTCGATTACTTTGAATCTGACTTCCAATAGAGTAGAGCCTTGAAGGCCAGAATATGGTTTAGAATTTAATGTTGGAAAAAAGGTAATCTCTTTGAGCTGTGCTTGGGGAACCTCTCCTTTGTCAGGAGTGTGACTGATGGATTGTAGAGTCGCACTGAGTCCAGAGTCAGAAAGACTAGGGAAATAACGTGTGCTGGGCAAATGTCATCAGAATTAATCTCAATGGAAAGGCCACCATGTTTCCTGGCTTTGGCCCCCTCCTCAACCTTGGGGAGGTGAATCTCCTTTCTCCTTTTAACTTATTTTCTAAATAAACTGTATTTTCCAATCTTAAAAAACAACAACAACAACAAAAAACTCAACGGAAAGAAATGATCTAAGGAAGGAAATTCTGTTGGGTTTTGTATGGTGTCGCTAAAGGCACTTTATTTATAGAGAAGTGCTTCAAATCTTAGCCAATAAGATACATGAAAAATCTTATTGTAGTTTTGTTTCTTTTAGTAACACCTAACATCTTTCTATTGCTTACTGACGTGTATTTCTTCCATGGATTACTCTATTTCTTCCTCATAGAAAAACTTGCAAAGGACGATTTTGCTAAGAGTGTTCCATATATTAATAAAAGTTGAATATCCCTTATTTTAAGTTAAATTTAAATTCTTCAGGTTTAATGACATTAGCGTCATAGAGAAAGAGGAAAGGAGAGGTGTTAGTTATTTTAAAAAATCAGATTCCTGGGTTCTTATTTGACCTACTAAATCAAAAGCTCTAGAGGTGGTGCCCACTGAGCTGTGTGTGTGTTTTTTCAATTTAGTACCCCCATGTGACTTTGTAGGTAGAATTTCTTGACCACCTTTTGAGGACATGCTTAGCTCTGTTGTCAAAGTTGTTTGCCAAGGACCAGAAATTGGGGGCATGGGCAAGAGGGAGTCTGGAGCTCAGTATGTATGTATTAAGTTTACTTCTGAGTGTAGCCATAATTCTCTGAGTTCATCATTAGTCAGTGTTTCAGTTTATGAGTGTGGGATGCTTTCTTATGGAGTTAGAACACACCATCACTTGCTCACTTATGACCTTGGCAAATATTTCCAATAAGTTTTCAACTAAGAACCACTATCACCCTGTAGGTACAAAATGAAGCCAAGACACCCTTGAAGAAGTTCTTGTTGAACTTGGCTGTTTCCAGTAAATATAAGGAAGTGCAGAGGGGTATCATCAGGCGTGACAGTTTCTGGGACAAACTCATCTTTGCAAAGATCCAGGTAGGTTGGGTGGGAGCTGGACTGTGCAAGACAAATATCCGGGCTGTGGGCTGCCCATTGACTCAGCATACTTTGTTTTTCCTCTGATGGTTGAATATTGCTTTAACTAGAGATCCTTTCAGACTTTGTGTGTACTCACCTTTTGAGATTCCTCTTGTATACCTTTGCCATGAAAAGCAGACAACATATTTTATTTAGGTTCTAGCACTCTCTCTCATTTCCTTAGATGGTCTGTTGAGATTATAAGTAATTTGAGAGGCCCAAGAATACAAATTACCAGAGGAACTTAAAAGAAAATAGTGCTTCTTGTCCTAGCTATGGATGATGATGACAATATGACAATAATAGCTAACATTTAAAGTGTTACTCTACAATGACAGGCTCTATTTTCAGTGCTTTGTAAATTAACATGAGAATTAATGTAAGTATAATTCTCACAACAACACTAGATAGGTTGCGTACTATTCCCATTTTACAGTGGAGGAAATTAAAGCCAAGAATAGGTTTCAGCAAGTCTTTTGTTTCAACTGAACAGGCCAGCCTGGGTGGGAAGGTTCGCTTCATGGTCACTGGAGCTGCTCCCATTTCCACTCCAGTCTTGACGTTCCTCCGAGCAGCAATGGGATGTCAGGTAAGCCAAAAACCTTCTTTGAAGACAGCTTATTTTACTTTTGCACAAATAAAGTTCATGGTGTAAATAAAAATAAAAACATAAGTAAAAAGTACCAAAGAAAAAGTTCACCTCTATAGTAACAAAGAGAAAATCACATCTACGTAGAGATATTTACATATATGAAATCAGTGTTACAAAGCACTGTTTGTTGTTTTTAGAGTTTGAGTCTCACTCTGTTACCCAGGCTGGAGTGCAGTGGCATGCTCACCACCACCACAGCCTCGGCCTGCTGGGTTGAGGCAATCCTCCAGCCTCAGCCTTCCAAGTAGCTGGAATTATAGGCATGCACCACCATGCCTGGCTAATTTTCTATTTATTGTACAGACGAGGTCTCGTCAAGTTGCCCAGGCTTGTCTTATACTCCTGGGCTCAGGCAATCCTCTTGCCTCAGCCTCCCAAAGTGCTGACATTATAGGCTTAAGCCACTGCACTTGGCCTATAAAATACTGTTAAACAATGCTTCATCAACATTACTCCTTGTCAAATAAAGGTCTGCATTATTTTTATTATTTTCACCATAGTTTACTGAATGCATTTAACCTTTGAACAATACATGGGTTGGGGTGTCTACCCTCCCATACAGTTGAAAATTTGCGTATAACTTTTAACTCCCCATAAACTTAACTAATAGTCTACTATTGACTAGAAGCCTTACCAATAATATAAACATTTTATTAATGCATATTTTATATATGTATTATATGCTATATTATTACATAAAGGTAGAAAAAATAAAATGTTTTAAGAAAATAATAATAGAAAATATATTTACTATTCTTATTGGTGTTAATAAGAGAAACTGATTTACTATACAAGGAAGACCCAAAAAACTCCAGAATTATCTTTTGGAGGGTGAGCCCCTTGTAGTACAGGCTTCCTCCACTAGGTGTTCTAGGACCCCATGGGTATCACTGTACCAGCTAGCATTGTCGTGAGTGGCTGTGTTCGGCTCTAGTGAATTTTTTGTTTGTTTGAGATTCAATGCATTTGCCTGTTTCATGATGAGTGATTTACCCAAGCAACCTGCCCACACCGTGCTGAGTGTTCAGCCGTTTTTGACCAAAAACAGTATGATGCCCATGTCCCACTCTCCTTATTCACCAACTTTTTTTTTTTGTTTCCCTGGATGAAAAAAGTCCTTAAAGGGAAATGTTTTGTCAATGTGGAAGAGGTGAAACAATAAATGGAAAGAGCACTAAAAGGCATCAAAATTGAGTTCAAAAACTGTTTTGAGCAGTGGGAAAAACATCTTGATAGGTGTATTGCATCAGATGGAGAGTACTTTGAAGGTGACTGAAGCTTAAACGTAAAAATAAATGTATACTTTTTAATAAATAAATTCTGGGGGGGTTGGGGGTTCTCCTTCATAAGTGGAAGTGGATCATCATGAAGATCTTTATCCTCATTATCTTCACATTGAGTAGGCTGAGGAGGAAGAGGATAAGGAGAAGTTGGTTTTGTTGTCTCAGAAGTTGCAGAGGTGAAAGAAAATCTGCAAACAAGTAGACTCCACAATTCAAACCTGTGTTGTTCAGGGTCAGTTGTACCCAAATAAGTCTTCTATTAATGGATACTTGAATCGCTTAGTATTTTTTCATTATTATAATCAATCATTAGCCTAGGATAAATCCATGCAAGAAAGGACTATTGGGTCAATGTACACACACACACACACACACACACACACACACACACACACACACACTGTTAATGTATATTATCAAACTTTCCTCCAATAAGAGTTTGTCTTTTATACATTCTTACAAATGCATACAGCCTTATTTGCCCACATTCCTGTCAGTGACAGGCTTAATCAGTCATTCAAATCTTAGCCAATCAGATACATTAAAAATCTTATTGCAGTTTTGTTTCTTTACTAACACCAAACATCTTTCTATTGCTTACTGATGTGTATTTCTTCCGTGAATTACTCTATTCCTTCCTTATAGAAAAACGTGCAAAGAATAATTTTAAGAGTTTTTCATATGTTAATACAGGTTGAATAACCCTTATTCAAATGCTTGAGACTAGAAGTGTTTTGAATTTTAGACGTTTTGGGATTTGGGGAGTATTTACATGATACCGGTTGAACATCCCAAATCCAAAAAGCTGAAATCTGAAATGCCTTAATGAACATTTCCTTTGAACATCATTCTGTCACTCAAAAATGTTCAAATTTTGGGGCATTTCAAATTTAAGATATTCAACCTATAAGATTAAATTTTGTCATGTTAGAAATATTTTTCTTGGTCTCACCTTTTTGCCTTGTATATTGCTATATAAAAGCTTCCAATGTTTTTGTAGTCAAACTAATTAATCTTTTCTATTTGTGGGTTCTGAATTGCTTAGACAGGGCTTCCTAATCACCAATATTTCATAAGACTATTTTACCCATATTTTCTGGTAATCTTATCATTTTACATTTTTCTATTCAAGTATCAGCTACAGGAATTTGTTCAAGAAATTTGTCATGGATTTTGTCTCATCCTACCTACCCCCCCACCACCCCTCAGAGGATAACTAGTTTATCCATTCAACCAATCATGCACAGCAGGAACAAAACAGGCAAAGACTTTTCCTAACAGAGAATGTACCCTTTTTGTATAATACTACCAAAAAGATTCTGAATTGATGCCAAGGCCAGAGGTCTTCTAGTCTTTCAAATTAGCATCTTCTTGGCCATTCTTAATACTTACTTTTACCTCAGTCTCTAAGTCCAATAGATCAGAAGGTTCTTTTGCTACTCTCTCTCCTAGAAATGTCTCTTCTAAGAAGCCTTCCTATCTCTCTCTCTCTCTCTCTCGCTCTGCCAGCTCTGCCTATCACAGGCCACACCCACCACTGCAGTAGCCTGTAAACTTGTCTCCTGTTACCAGCCTCTCTCCAGTTAAGATTATCTTCCATACCAGGGGCCGGCAAATTGTAGCAAGGTTAAAATTGGCCTGAAGTCTTTTTATTTTTTTAAATTTATTAAAACACAGCCATGTCCATTCATTTCTATATGGTCTATGGCTGCTTTCATGTTACATTGGCAGAGTTAAGTTGTTGAGTCAGAAACCAGATGGTTCACAAAGCTGAAAATATTTACTATCTTGCCCTGTCCAAAAAATGTTTGCCAACCCTTGTTTTATACTATAGATGGAGCTAATTCACCTAAAAAATGCTACTCCCCTTCTTCAGTTCCTTCAATGATGTTTCATCCCCAGGTTCAAGTTCAATTACCACTGGATTGCACACCACTTAGTGAATAACCTGCATCCCCGCCCCCCCCACTTGAAATGCCTCATTTTCATATACATTTCTATACTTTGCTCTAATTCTGGTCCCTTTTGGCTTTTGAATGGCCAAAAGACGTGGCAGTAAACACTTAGCAGCTTGAGCATGAATTCTCGAACCTTTAGAGACCTTGCTTTTCTCATGTCTTCGCCACGGGGCATGGCCAGCTCGGCTTTATCTTGAATGAGTCTCAAAGCTTTTCTTTGGTTTCCCAGGTGTATGAAGCTTATGGTCAAACAGAATGCACAGCTGGCTGTACAATTACATCTCCTGGGGACTGGACAACAGGTGAGTCCTCCATCTGCTGGACAGGAGTGTGGTAGTTGGAAGAAAGGCTTTAGCTGAACTAGGCTGACAAGTTTAGATAACTTCAGTGCTCTGGACTAATACAGCAAATGCTAAAACTTAGGTTTTGGGCCTAGATCTGCCTATCTTGGCTATTCTGCATTGGTGCCAGATAATTTTTTGGTCATACTCTCTTAGAGTCAATCCATAAATATCTCAGAAAATGTGTGGAATTATCACTATTTTATGGTTTCCCCACTGATCCAGTGTGGTGTTTTCTAGGCCATGTTGGAGCCCCTCTGGCTTGCAATTATGTGAAGCTGGAAGATGTGGCTGACATGAACTACTTTTCAGCAAACAATGAAGGAGAGGTGGGTAGGTCATGCCCTGTGGTCAATCATGGTGGGGAGGTTTACGAGGGAGGACCTCCCCAAAAAACAGGAATTGTCTTTTGGAGGTCAAGCCCTTCATAGTACACCTGGAATTTCTTCCTCTGGATCAAACAGTCAACCAAAGTTTTTACCTAAATTTTGAGAAGGTTGCATCACAATTTGTAGAAGAAACATCCCCAGTAGTGGCAAACAGGTGGCTGGTTCTTCCACCATGACAATGCACCTGCCCACACTGCACTGAGTGTTCAACAGTTTTTGACCAAAAATTGCATGACCCCTGTGCCCATCCTTCCTATTCACTCGATCTTGCCTGGAGTGACTTTATTTCCCTGGATGAAAAAAGTCCTCAGAAGGAAACGTTTTGCTGATGTGGAGGAGGTAAAACAAAAAATGGCAGAAACACTAAAAGGCATCAAAATCAATGAGTTCAAAAACTGTTTTGAGCAGTGGAAAAAGCATCTTGATAGGTGTACTGTATCAAACAGAGGCTACTTTGAAGGTGACTGAAGTGTAAACATGTAAGAATAAATACACAATTTTTATACTGTTTTTTGGGGGGTGTCTCCTCTCATATATCAGAAAGATCATGTAATTGTGAGCAAGCTTGGGTTTGACACCTTTGAGAGCTTTAGCAAGGGATTAAACATCTCTGAGCCTCACTTTCCTATTCTGTATAATGGAGACCAACACCTGATGCTCTTCACATTGTGGTAGAAACTATCACATGACTTAAGGTGGGAACAGGTGCTTTGTAAAGGGCTCACACTGGGAGTACTAGCCTTTCCTATTGTCAATACTTTGTACTGTCTGCTGTGCAGATCTGCATCAAAGGCACCAATGTGTTTAAAGGATACCTGAAGGACCCTGAGAAGACACAGGAAGCCCTGGACAGTGATGGCTGGCTTCACACAGGAGATATTGGCCGCTGGCTTCCAGTGGGTATTTCTTCATAACTTCTGGAAGTCTATGCCACTGCGTTGGGGAGAACAATCTGCTTATAAAGAGGGGCAGAAATGCATGCAGGTTAACCAGCTGAGGCAGCTGGAGGGGATTAGGTCTGTATCCTATCTGGCTTATATCTTTACACTACAGAGAGAAGAACATACAATTGAAAAAACCTAGGCTGAGAACTAGGAGACATATACTAGTTGCAGCTCTTCCATGGGCCAACGATGCAAAATCTTGAGAAAGTAACTTAGTGGGTGAATGGAAGCTGTCAAAGCTAGAAAGGCTTTCTTTCTTTAGGTCAGAAGCCTTTTGCTATTTATATCACAATGTTGTTGTAGAAGATACTAAGATGTATACTTGTTGAAGGATTTTCTTCTTGCCTTATTCCTTATCAAATGCAACACCACCAGCAGTAACCATTGGTATCAGCACTGTCTCTAAACTCAAACTGAAGGCGATATTCTTTAATAGGTCACATGGTCCTGGACACCAGAGTTGATGTGTCTCCCTTGCAATGGAATAGATTTGCTTTCAGACAAGGGAAAATTAAGTGACTTCCTCAAGAAAGGGGTAGGAAGGTGTAGTATTCTGTCCCTTTTTACTTATTTTACTTTTCTTGAGGCAGAAATTGTGGTTTGATAACTCCATGGGCCCACAGCTTTTGCCTTTTATGAGTTTCAAAGGGATAAATATTTTCCCAATTAATTCCTACACATATCAAAACAAGGAAGCAGGATGTCTAAATCAAATGTTTGCAGGGGCTAGTGTTTATTTCTCAGAGACCTTCACAGCCCTTTTTTGTGGAAGTCCCAGAAACTTTTTTTTAAACATAGCTTGATGATAAACAATTAGCAGTGTCTGTCATTATCATCTGTTTTCCTAAGGAGAGAGGACACTATTGCATGGCAGTGATGGAGCCTTAGTGCCTGCAAGGGATTTTTCAAAGGCTCTCCCCTCTTGAAAGATTTTTCTACTATGTGCTGGGAAGTGAGAATGCAACTAAAACTTAAAACTCCTTTCTCATTCAACCAATGTTTAAGATTTATGTGAGATTCAAGGAATATTTGACAATGAGACTCTAAGAACACTGGTCCTAATGGAGTATTTCATAGGTTTGGATTTGGTAATATCTTGCTAACTCTATTTCTGTTCAATAATAGAATTTAATAATGCTCCAGTAAGACTAGGATATAAGCAATAGATAGTACTTACACCAACATTATAGAAGTCTGCATCTTATTAATCACTTTTAGACAATGAGTATCAGGCTGAATTGATGCCTAATTTCTTGAGTCAACCGTGTTGATGGATCCAGGGTTGGTTTAGTCAGTTGCCCTACTTAGGGTATTATCACGTGGATTGTATTTGCCACTTGTCCCAATTCTACAATTCAAATCCCTAAAAACCTAAGCTCCTCAGACCAATTAGTTCAGAGAAATGAAGCTGTAAATAACCTCTGGTGGTTGCTCAGAGTCCTCCCAGTCCAGTTGCTGTCCTAACATGCTCAATGATTGACTTGGTTGATTAGCACAGTGGTGCTGTTTGAGCCTGCTCCTGGATCTAACAGGAGGGATTCATAAAAGGGAACCAAGGATAGGGAGAATTGTCTAATTCAACAGTCTTAATTATAGATAATTCCTTCTCTACTCCTGAGAGTTCTGCAAATGGAGTAATTGGAAATTAAGTTACTGGAAATTGGGAGCTGCAACATTTCTTCCTTGGATGAGGAGGCATCTATTTACACAACCCCATTGGGTCCAGGGAACTTTGAGGCTGCACATTGACTCTTCACATAGATATACCGTATAGACCCGTTCTTACTGGAAGCTGCTTCTCTCCCCTTTCCCTAAAGTCAAGGAAGAAAAATGAAAGACTACCCAAAGTCTCCGGAGAAATCAGCTTTAAAAAAGAAAGGTAACTGTGACTCTGTCACTCTCTCTATGCCTATGGCTCAAAAATACTGATGTTTTTATCTGTCTCATATAGAATGGAACTTTGAAGATCATTGACCGTAAAAAGAACATTTTCAAGCTGGCCCAAGGAGAATACATTGCTCCAGAGAAGATAGAAAATATCTACATCAGAAGTAGACCAGTGTTACAAATATTTGTACATGGGGAGAGCTTACGGGTAATATATCATTTTAACACAAGTCATTTTCAGGGACAAACCATGCTGGTTCCTATAGCTATAGGAAATTTGTATAAGTGGGTTCAGAATGAGAGGATCCTAGCTCATAAAACTAAACAAATGAAGGTAATAGCAATTAAAAAATTATTTTGAAACTATGATGGCCTTTGTGAACAAGTCAATAGGATTGTTAAAGCACCTTTACTAAAAGGTAGCTGTTTGGTTAAAAAAAGAATTCCACCTAGCAGTTAGGAACTGCAAATCTAGTGGGAGTTTCTCTGGCACAACAAACTGTTTTATATACACTGTGATTAAACTTAGCTTTTTGTGGGGTAAGGGAAGAGTTGGCATGGACAGGCTGGAGATGCTTTAAGCTTAATGTTGAAGAATCATTGGATAGAACAGCTTTGCAATGAGAGGATGAGCGGAAAGATGAGACTAGAGATTCAAGAGGGTTTGAGATACCTGGTGGAAAAGAGTAGGACACTAGTACTGGGTTTGAGGTTTTGAAGAAGTAACTATCACAATGATATGATTTTGCTTTCTTTATCTCCTGGGGACATCCCTTCTGCCCTTGCTCCTTTCATTTCCTTTTTGTAGTCATCCTTAGTAGGAGTGGTGGTTCCTGACCCAGATGCGCTTCCCGCGTTTACAACCAAGCTTGGGGTTAAGGGCTCCCTTGAAGAATTGTGCCAAAATCAAGTAAGTCTCACTTAGGAAAGTTTTATGCATATCTGTGGGCTCATCATGGGAGAAAGGGGGCCCTGCCAGCTGGATACCCATGAGTTCCCACAGCCTCCTCTCTGGAGGAACAGACTCTTCTGCAACTGTGGAAAAGTAGCTGTACCCCAAACAGACCAAATAGTTTTATGAGAGTGGGAGATAAGATGGAGAGTTCAGAAAACAAAACTCTTTATTCAACGTAAAGTAATATGTTCATTGTAAGAGAAAAAACTAGAAAATAAGAGTAAAAATGTCATGCAGAAAAAAAAAAACTCTGTTAACATTTAGATTTTCCTTTTCTTCTCATTTTTTCTTTGATAAATATTGGGGATATAATGTATTCACATATAATTTTATATCCACTTTCTATCCTCATCAGCTTTGATAGGCATTTTGAATCAGTTCAATCTTAGTCTTTCATTTAGGTTTTTTTTTTTCCAGACAGTCATGCATTAGGCAATGCTTTGTTTTTCTTAGCTTGTAAAGGAAGCCATTTTAGAAGACTTGCAGAAAATTGGGAAAGAAGGTGGCCTTAAATCCTTTGAACAGGTATGTACTACCACTGTTTTCCTGGTCTCTCGTCATATTAGAAACTTTTATTTAAAGTGTCTATTTGTAGTGGGGTTTAAATATGTATATAGTTTCTAATGAATTGATTTTAGATTTTACAACATTAACTACAAATGGCAGTGATCTGTGGTAGTTACTTTAATAGTTTCTTTTTGTTGTTCATTATCCATTCTCCCTCTCCCTACTTATTTTTTGTCCAAATTATACGTTTGTGAGAATGGCTATGTGTTACAGTTATCTTTACTTCCTACTGCATCAACCTCACATTGTTCACAAAGCACTTAGAGGGCTTTGTAGAAAAGTCCAAATCACTATTAAGCCTGTATCTATGCATTCATCTCGTCTTTCAGGTAAAAAACATCTTTCTTCATCCAGAGCCATTTTCCATTGAAAATGGGCTTTTGACACCAACACTGAAAGCAAAGCGAGGAGAGCTTTCCAAATACTTTCGGACCCAAATTGACAACCTGTATGAGAACATCCAGGAGTAGGTTCAGGTACTTAAGACTGGAAGGGGCACTCCACACTGCTTGAGAGGAAATGGATTAAAAACTATTCTTGCATTCTTTTTTTTTTTGTCCTTCTTTCTATCTGTTGTTTTACCTACTCAACTAGAAAGCCATAGCTTTTGGTTTTTGTTTTAACATTGTGACTTACAGTATGTACATTTAACTCTGAAATAAATAAGTCCTGGTCCTTCCCGTCATAAATGTTGCCAATATTAAGGTTTTAGGGCCACTTTTATCAACTGGAAGCTGTGGGGGAAGGAATTGAAACTTATGCCCAAGGTCCTAGTTTGTGTTCTATGTCCCTTCCTCATGATCTCCAATCTTAATGCTGTCTTTATAAGTGACCACAAGTTCAAAGGACCCTCTGCGACACAGTCCTCATCTTATCTAGGCCTTTTAATGTTAAAACAAAAATATTTTTAGGTTCTGAAAATCTGTTAATAATTTACGTTCTCTAGCTACTCCAAAAAACCAATAAAACTTTAAATCGTTTTAACCTATCACTCATGTCAACCATATCTATCAGACAAACTTCTCCTATGTATTTCAGTTATACTGATGTTTGTGTACAGAAGGGAAAAGTTTGATCATACCAAACAATTCCTAAACTTTCTAGTTAGATATGTGACTTGGGAGTATTAAAAATTGGGTCTATTACATGTCCACAAGAAATGTTGTTCTTCAAGTGTTACCTATAATATAACTGGTGACCATATCTGTTCCCCACAGTTTTCTGCTGAACTGGAAGCTGTGGGGAAAGGAATTGAAACTTATGCCCAGTGAACTTTTCCAGTAAATAAAGCAAGCACTGAATAAAAACTCCTGCACTAGGAACAAAGGTCTAACAGGCAAACAAGATGCCCACACGACAGGCTTATCTTCTGTGAAGGAACTGACTGATTTCCCCCACCCTGAGATTACAGTTCTACTGTACCTTACCCCCAGATAACACATCACTTCTACTTGTAAATGTAATGCCTTTAAAATAAACTATTGCACATACTTACGTTGTGGTGTTTGTTGTCTCATGGACCATGATGAGAATGTCTTAAACAAGGACCCCTTAAAAATCAAGTAAACTAGTGGTTTTCAAACTTGGCTGCACACTAGAAATATCTAGAAAGTTTAAAAAGATAGGAATGGCTGGGTGCCATCCCAGGGATTCTGATTTAAATGGCTGTAATACAACCTGGGCATTGGGATTGTTAGAAGGTTCGCAGATAATTCTGTTATGTTAACCAGGTTTGATAACTACTGAAGACAAGTAAGTTGAGAGGATCAAGTCTTCTTATCCCATAGCTGTGAATAATAAAACAGATACTAGGCTGGGATTGGTGGCTCAGCCTGTAATCCCAGCACTCTGGGAGGCTGAGGCAAATGGATTGCCTTAACTTTCAGGTTCAAGACCAGCCCAGACAGCTTGGTGAGACCTCATCTCTACAATAAATAAATAATTAGCCAGGTGCAATAGCACACGCCTGTAGTTCCAGCTACTTGGAAGACTGAGGCGGAAGGATCGCCTGAGTCCAGCAGGTCAACACCGGGGAGGCTGTGAGTGTGCCACTGCCCTCCAGCCTGGGTGACAGAGTGAGACTCCATCTAAAACAAACAAACAAACAAACAAACAAACAAACAAAAAAGATACTAGCTTAGCCAAAACTCTGAGTACAGTTCAATCTTTCTCCTTTGCCATCTTTGTTGAACTCTAAGTAATCTTGAAGAGTGTTCTTTTATGGCATCTAACTGGAGATAAAGAGAATAGTCTTAAAAGGTCTTTCTAGGCTTTCAGAAAAACAGGAAAAAAGTCTATTCTTGAGTATCTGAAACAAAAGGGAAAGCAGGAATGAATGAAGAGGTCCCTCCATGGCCTAGCGCCTGCTGTCTCTTTAACTTACTCTCCTGTTCCCTCCTTCTCACTTGTTCCAGTTCACAGACATGCCAGACACATTCTGGCTATTTTTGTTCTTGCTGACCCCTCTGCCTAAAATGCAGATCCCCTCTAAAATGATTTTTACCCACATCTGCTTCAAATGCCAACTCAAGACTGTTCTACCTTTTTTCTTCATCACATATAAACTCCAGCTGACATATACTTGTCTGTCCACCTTCCCACCCCCATTGGAATGGGACAGAATCGTGTTTTGTTCACCACTAAATCCCCAAGTGCCCTTCTCTTATTTTTTATTTATTTTTTGAATCAAGTCTCACTCTGTTGCCCAGGCTGAGTGCAGTGGCATAGTCACAATGATCATAGCTCACAGCACACCCAACCTCCTGGGTTCACTACCACACCCGGTTAATTTTTTGATTTTTTTTTTTGTAGAGATGAGGTCTTGCTACATTGCTCAAGATGATCTTGAACTCTTGGGCTCAAGCAATCCACCTGTCTCGGCCTCCCAAAGTATTGGGATTACGGCCATGAGTCACTCACCCAACCCCCTTATTCTTAATGATTATAAAACTGGCCCCAAAAGCATCACATTTCCTGCCTTGGAAAGAATCTATCAATACTGGACTAGTCCAAAGAAATGGGCTCTCTCTTTCCTTCTGTAATTCTACCCATATGTTTATTTTATTTATTTTATATTTTTATTTTTGAGTTGGAGTCTCACTCTGTCTGTCACCCAGACTGGAGTGCAGTGGCCACTCCCGGCCACCGCAGCCTCAACCTGCTGGGCTCTGGTGATCCTTCCACCTCAGCCTTCCGAGTAGCTGGAATTATAGGCACGCGCTACCATACCTGGCTAATTTTTTAATTTTATTGTAGAGATAACTAGCCAGATTTTAAGCATCCAAGCCCACCAACTTGGGATCCTACCATTCGCACGTTTCAGTTTTTGATATATTCAAGTGTACATAAGCAGTTTGATATCACTAGGTTTAAAGTCTAGAACACTGTTCATATATTGAGATTAGTATGTCATATCTTAAGACTCATGATTCAAGATGCCAATTTTTCACAGGGTAGCAGAACAGTTTTTCCATAAGGAACTAAGACTAACCTTTTTAGTCAACAAAAAGAAAAACGCTTTAAGTAAAACTATGATTTATACAGAACATTCATTGATCTTTATTTGATTTGACAAAATCTGCATTATTAAAAGACAGGTAACAAAATTTGAGTTTATACTGAATTTGACAAATTGAGTTATAGTATTTAGAATATCACTTAAATATCAACTGAAGGAAAAAAAAAAGTATCACATGCAGATGCTCCTGGCAAAGGGGGAACTATATCTGCAGGTGAGGTTCAGAGTGTGCAGTGCATAAAAAAAATCCTAGCTAAAATGCAATTAACTTACTTGGGTGAAATGCTTTTCCTTTTGAGGGGAAGAAGAGGTGGTAAAGAGGGGCAGGAATTCAAAGGCATATGCAGAATGGCTTCTCCATTTCAAAATGGTAATAAAAATATTAAATCATGGCACTAGGGCACCTTTGAGGAAAAGAACACCTTAACCAAAGTAGGTTCATTGCATAATTCTTTAGTAATATGTATAATTTTCAAGTAATGGAACAGACTTAAAGAATAATTTCATTTTAACAGCGGCTATCTATTTTTCTTCTCACCCTCCAGGGCTTGATCTGTTTCAACATCGCAGGGACACTTTTCCACACAGTTTCTAGGGAACCATCCTCTTATTCTCGAAACACCTAAGGGAGAAAATGAAATTGAGGCAAAATAGTCAGATGTACAGTAGTAACATTTCTGAGACCATAAGTTCTGTTACTTCAAATTAATAAGCTTTTACTTTGACTTTTTCCCCCTTTTTACTGTCTCTTATAAGCACAGCTGAGGGAATAAAAATAAGATTTTTTGAATGTTCCCAACAAGCTAGAAAACAGGTATTTCCCAAATTCTATTTTCTGGGAAAGGGGTTAATGTGGTTCAAGACTTAATTCTAAATTCAAAATTTAATTTAAAACAAAAAAGAAATTTTTAATCCCACTAGTTTTTGGGGTTTTTTTAAAGTTTCCAAACAAAATTTATTAGAGAAAGAAGGGAGAAAAAAAAGGGGAAGACATGCCAGACTTGGCATGGGCAAAAGAAACTGCCATCCCTCTAGTTTTTATAATAACAAAATAAATCCTCATTCAAAGGGTGAGCAAATGGCATGGGGGTTTAGTGCACAGAATGTGGAGTTGGACTGCTTGGGTTTAATCCCTGGCTCGACCTGTTTCTAGTATGTGGCTACAGTCAAGCAGCTTAGCCTCTCTGTGCTTCAGTTCTCTCACCAGTAAAATGTAAACGATAGTACCTACCTCAGAGTTCTTTTGGGAACTTTAATACCATAAGTGAAGCACTTATATATGTACCTGTCACATAGTTAAGTATGAGCTCAAACGTTAGCTGTCATTAAAAAGATTGGTAAATACAAGTGCTATGGAAAAACATATAAAGGGTTTTTTTTTTTTTTTTTTTTTTTTTTGCTTAATGATGTACCCTTTTATGCAGTTTCCGTAATCCATCTGGCATGTGATTATTTGTAAATATTATTCTTAAACAATTTGAAATTATTACTAGCAGTCTTGTCCTTTAAAAATGTCCTTTTATTTCCATACCTTCTACAGAGGAATCATCAAGAATTTTGTCTCCATACAACCAGTATCTGAAATATTTAAAAGATTAACATTAATTTTTATTTTTAAGGCTATATGTCAATTTTGTCTCTAAGAAGAAATGCAGTACTCCCTGTTACTTACCGTAAACCTCTTGTGGCTAAAATGAACTCCCCTTTTTGTAACTGTATTCGAGGCTCTTCAGTACAGGGACTTGTGAAGAAGGTTTTGATTCCTTTATTCAAAGGACAGCAGGCACCACTATAATCTTCTATTACTTTATAGCGAACCTATCAGAAGGCATCAGAATATTTTGAATATTTACCCATGATGTTTGAGTTCTTTCAAATTTGAATTTAAAGTTTTAAAGGTAGATCTAAAATATCCCTCCAGTTCCCCATCCACCCGGTTCATTTATAGGAAGCAGCTGATGTTTCTAGTTCTCAGGAGTTTTCGTACTTCTCATTTCAAGCAGGTAGCTAAGAATTAAATGCTAGAGCAGAGCTGACTAAAACTTTCTGCAGTGATGAAAATATTCGGTATCTGCAATATCCAATGCAAGTACTATACACTGTAGCTACTGAGCACTTATAACGTGGTTAGTGCAACCAAGAAACTGAATTTCAATTTAATTTAATTTAAATAAAATAGCCACATGTGGCTACTGTATCCAGCAACACAGTTTTATGGATGGGTTTCATATTAACAAGCTATATTGAGAATAATTATTTTTCTGTTTTTTTAAATTTTTTCTTATTTTTTATTTTTTTATTTTTTTTGAGTTGGAGTCTCACTCTGTCACCCAGACTGGAGTGCAGTGGCCGCTCCCGGCCACCACAGCCTCGACCTGCTGGGCTCCGGCGATCCTTCCGCCTCAGCCTTCCAAGTAGCCGTAATTACAGGCATACGCTACCACACCCGGCTGATTTTTTGATTTATTGTAGAGATGAGGTCTCGCTGCCCAGGCGGGTCTCGAACCCGCAGGCTCAGGCAATCCACTCACCTCAGCCTCCCAAAGGCACGGGATTACAGACTGAGCCACAGAGCCCGGCTAGAGAATAATTATTTTTCTATGTTGGCAATATAAATTGACAAATTCCTTCCAAACCTTCAGTTCAAACTATTGAAATAAAAACAAAAGGAAACTATATCAAATTTCAACATGAATATTATTTAGTAAAAGCCAACAGCTGGTTTCTAGTCAAAGGCAATTAAAACTATGCAGAAGTATAGAGACTGATGGAAAAAAAATTAGTATCATCGCAAAAGAATTACTTACACTTCTGACTCTCTTATCTGCTTTTTGTTTTAACTGTTCTATCTGTGTGGAAGACATAAAAGAAAAAGTTAAGTCTCTTGTCTCAACGTTGAAAAATAGCTTTCATCATCTATTATCACAGTGACATAACAAACCCCCAATTTTCCAGCATTTCAAATGGCAGATGACTAAAAGGCCACAGGTTGTTTTAGCATGGAAAGAAGACCCTATGACTAAGAACCAGGGACTGAGAGAGATTTCTCAGCATTCACTGTTTACTATCTCCATCTGTGTATATTCCCACAGTGCCCACTGTGGCCTAGGGATCAGGGAGATATAGTCTCTGTCCTCATGAAGCTTCCAGGCTAGTACCTACGGTGAAGAACTGATATTCACTGATTCATGAGAGATACAGCAGACAAAATACAAAGGGACGATGAAGAACATTTAACAATGAAGCTAAATGAATGAATAAAAGTCATCAGGCTAACTCACTTTTTTTTGACTTAGTAACTATTAAATAGTACTCTATTCGCTATAGTAGGAGAAATAAAGATAATACATGGTCTCTGTCCTAGAATCTTGTCAAGTTAAGCTATAGATATAAGACACAAGAATTAAATAGAAATATGAGACTTCATAAGCTACCGTACAGTAGTATATGATTAGGTGCCAAAATTGTAGGCAAAGTTAGGTGGCAGGAATGTGTAAGGAGTTCATGCGACACCATAAGTTGGAAGGTAATTTTTGGTCAGATTTTTGAAACTGTGTTAAAGAATCAGGACTTCATTTCACAGGTGTGGAGGTTAAGAAGAGATTTAAATAAATGAAGACACATTATACAAGGAGTGCTTTAGGATTATGAACTTAGATTTATTTTGACATAGTGAAAATATTCGTATTACTATTTTACTACATAATGTCACCTGAGTTAAGGGGAAATTAAGGGAAAGAAGGTGAGGCAAAAAGAAAGGAGGTCATTTGGAAAAAAATACTCACAGTTAAGCTGTACTGGTGACAGCCTTCTCTTATTGGCCACTCTAGTCCATCTCCTTCAGGGACCCCTGACCACGTAAATACCTGTTTAAAGTTTCTCCACCTACTTCCCATATCATAAGGAAAAACAAAGACTTCATCTAGTTGATAATATTGAATTCGATCTTTAGCCTGTGGGTAACAAAGATAAAAGATGGCAAATGCCTCAGTAATACATTATTATGAACACGTATTTCTCAAACTTGCATTATTCATAAAAAAATTTCCTCCTTGTAAAGTTATTGTATACAGAAAAGATAGACAACTTTATCACAGTACAGAAAGAACATGACACAAAATACCAACCTCATATGTGATCATCCAGAAAATAGCGACAGGGTTTCTTTAGGAATAAGCATTCACAAACGCTTATTAAAATGGTTAGCTAGGTCAGGTGTGGGGCTCACGCCTATATTCCCAGGTGGGAGGTGAGAGGATTGCCTGAGACCATGGGTTTGAGCCATCTGGGCAACTTGGCGAGACCTTGTCTCTACAATAAAACAAAAATTTAGCCATGCATTTTGGTGTGTGTTGTAGTTCCAGCTACTTAGAAGGTTGAGGCAAAAGGATCACCTGAGCCCAGCAGGTTGAGGCTGCGGTGGATGTGAGCTTGCCACTGCACTCCAGCCTGGGCGACAGAGTGAGACTCCAACTCAAAAAAAAAATAAGAAAAAGAAAAAGAAAAAAAAAGTTAGCTAACTTCATCTCATTAAAAAAAAAAAATTCTCAATACTATACTCCTGATTGTTCAGCAGCACACAAAGAAATCCAAGTATGTAGAAAGGATGCTAATGAACAGACTCAGGAGAAAGTAAGCATTTATTAAGGGTGAAACTGTCTTATTCAGAATAAAACTGTTGGGATGTACCAGTTGTAACCTGAGTGGCAGTGACAGCTGTGAGAACGGCCAGGAAAGATGTAACAAGGATGTCGTTTTATTTAAAAAAAATTTTTTTTAAAGCTAGCAGGAATGTACAGGAGATCTTCTTTCATTTCATTATACTATTATACATATATACATACTTGCTTATATATGCATTTATATGTGCATATACATAAATACTCAGCTTGCATAAATTATACCCCAGGCATTTGAATTTTTAGCTTTAATTCAAGTAAATAAACTGGCTTTGGATTTCATAAGTTCTACTGACACCTGGTGGTACAAAGATACATTATTCCAATAATAAGTGTACACACCATTGGCTTTTTTTGTATAGACTTTTTTTGTATCTGGTAATTTCTCTAAATTTTCTATAAATTTAATATGATCATTAATTTAATTTTTTAATCAGCAATCAGCTCTAAAATAATCCTAGATGTAGCATGGCACTTTGTAATAAACAGTGTTGGTCACGAGCGAAAAAACAGTGAATCTAATGTCAATATATTTATTATCTACTAGAAATGATACTTTGAAATATTTTATTATTAAGGGACAGTATTTTATGGAAAATCTTCTTGCAGTTATGAAGTGATATTAATGTTAATTGTTTAGGAAAATAATTGACAAGTTGTTAAACACATGAATCTGTTAAGTTATATAAATCCATCCTCACCCAGACAGTAAAGGGTAATTCCTTTTCCCTTTTTATAAACAAAGCTTCAGAGTCTTCAAAATGAACTGAACTTCAAAGAACAGAGATCTAGGCTATTTACAAAGAAAAACTGGTAAATGGGAGAATAGCTTACAAAATAGCTAAGATATCTTTACCTAAAAGAAGCACTCAGTGATGCTGTGATTCTATCAATATTGTGTGTTAAAAGGTGAGAGGTTGTGCAGTAGAAGCCATGGGATAGGAGAACAAAGCAACAAAAAGTACTTAGCCAAGTCTAGGGAGCGTCAAGCAAGACTCCTTGGAGGAAATGATATCTCAACTAAGTCTTGAGGGGCAAGAGATCATGCATCAAGAAAGAAAAAAGTGTTTCTTTTCTTTCATGGAAACATGTGCAAAGAAACAGAAGTATACGATGTACAAACTCTGAACAATTTGGTCTCAAGTGTGAGATGAGGTGGAGAAGGGTGGAAAGGAGGTTGGAGAAACAGATAAAAAGAAGTCATGAAAGATTTTACTATGTCTAAGCCAACGAACTTGGACTCAAACTGTATACCACTGGCTCTCAAAGCATGCTTTGTAGACCACTTTGAGTCTCCAAGAAGGTCCAGTTATTTTCATAATAACACTAAGATATTGTTTGCTTTTTAATTGTGTTGACATTTGCAATGATGAATGAGACTGCTGGCATCTTAGCAGGAACCAAGGTAGTGACACCAATCTGTATAAGTAGTTATTATATTCTTTACCAAAATATACTTAGAGTTTTAAAAAAACAACAATTTCATGTAACAAGTTCTTGATGAAGCACTAAAAGTTATATTTATTAAATCTCAACTCTCAAGTAGGTGTACTTTACTTTTAATATTCTGTGTGACAAAATGAGAAGTATACATAAAGAATGCCCCAGTAGAATGGTTATCTCAAAGAAAACAGTTGTTGAGCTGTGAGCTAAAAAATAGGTATATAGTAGGCTTTTTTTTCCATGTATGTTTATTTGCAAGAATGAGAAACATAACAGACAAACTAAGGTTATTCAGACATCAGTATTTGGTAAACATTCCTGAAAGAGTGAATAAAGTCAGACTGTCATTTCAAAGGATATAACTTATAGTATTTGTTACCAGTGAGAAATTTAAGATTTTTAAATGAAAATTAGAATTTTAGAAAATTTGTATCTACCACTATGAGCCTGACAGTTTTCCCAATACTTAAAGACTTTCTCAAAAAATTGATAGTGATATAAGTGAATGTAATTTTTAGATATTTTATATTGAAAGGTGTTAATGTTCAGAAAATCAACATAACCTAGTAAACCAATATTTTCCAAATGACCAATGTCTGATGTTATATAAAACCATGTACTGGTAAAAGATCCATTCGAGGAGTAAGACAGACTGATAGAATTTAATGTAAAAGAGTATAAAAAGTTTACTGGAAAGAAATATCACCTGTTAAGTTTTAACATAATAATATCGAAGAATAGCCATTCATCTAAAAGGTTATTAAAACATTCCACCCCTTTCTACTTATCTGTGTGAGACTGAATTTTCTTCATGTACTTCAATCAAAGAAAAATATTTCAACAGATTGAATGCAGAAGAAGATGTGAGAATCTGGCTGTATTCTGTTAAGTCAGATATTAAAGAGATTTATAAAAATATAAAAGAATGCCACTATTCTCCCATTTTTAATTTGGAATGTGTAATTAGTTTTCATTAAAATGCTATTTTTATTAATATATAATGGGTTTATTTGTATTTTTAAATAAAATAATCTTCAAAAATTCTCTCAGAAATATATATATAAAATATACATAAGCTGTTTAGTGCCCTTAGCAATTTTTGAGACTGTGAAAGGATCCGGAGACCAAAAAGTATGGAAACAGCTTCTGTAAATTAAAGTTCACAAACTGCCAGGGGGCTAAATTATGTCCTACAGATATGTTTTATTTGACTCACAAAAGTTTTTTTTGCTTTTAATTTGAATTATTTGCTAACATTCAAAAACTAAGAGGAGATCTCACAGAAACCCAGGTCTTTTTTTCTTGGGAAGAAAAAAAGAGAAGATACCATAATAAAGAAAAAAAGAGAAGATACCATAATGGCTATTCCCCTATGGCAACAATCAGCTTGGTCTGTTAGGCAGCTCTTTAGTATTTGGCTTACTCCCTCATTTAGGTTACCTGCCTGAACCCTGCAAGCATTTGGGTTTCAACCCCTGCCAAAGTGAGGGTGAGGCTCTGAGATGTTTTTAAGCAGGGAGCAGAATTGCCAGATATAATTTTTACATTAGAATCGTGATGAACAGTATGAAATATGTATTGGAAGTTGTGAGGTCTGTGACAAGCTTAATGTTATGAACCTTATCTAACATCCAAAACTAAGAAAAATTTGATGGCACCCTGATAGGATAGAAGTTTTTCCCAAGGGGCTGCCTTCTCCTCTATTCTGAGGGAGAATTGCCAGACGGTTTTAATGTGTGACTTATACCTCTTCAGTCACCAGGATGTATGAGAAACATATTTCTGTGGAAACTATATTAAAATGGGAATAAATCAAAATGTTTCCTACATTCACCTTTTATGTTGCATACCAATAATTTAAGGAAGCCATTTGATAGCCAAGTTTTCATTTTCAAGTACTTATTAGTTAATCTGATCTATTAGCTCATCAGTACTTTAATATTGAGAAAATAATTATAAAATTTACCTTCTCTTCAATCCATGATTCAATAGAAGTTTTGTTTCTAAGAATTATTTTCATCTGGAAATTAAATGATGATAAAATGTGACTTTGGTTTTTAAAAAATTATTACAGTCCTAATAACCCTACAAGATAGCTTTTATTATTCCACTCTATAGACAAAGATACCAAGGGTAAAAGAGGTTAAGTAACACAGTTAGCATGTGGTCATCTGACTCTGATGTCTTTGTTCTTAACCAATGCACTATAATGCCTCTCCACAAAAGTGATTATACCAATCTGTAATCAAATCTAAATCTAATATTTTAATCAAAATTCATGTCTTAAGTAGTATCTTTAGAACAAGGGTTTCAGAGTATTAATAAAATACTGATTTAATCCATTTAATCAGTGCATGTGTATTTCATTCTTAAAAACTTTAATTGCCATTTTTAATTAACTTTAAAGTTATGTTTGATCTACTTATGACAAGTAATAGTGACTCATTCCAGTCAACCTCAATATTCTGCTTGCCTTAAAAATATAATGTATTCAGTCTTTATTCTATTATTCAATTTTCCTAGATATGACTGATTCCACATAAAGAAGTTTTTATACAACAGGATCTTAGTTTATTTCTAATATGATTCCTCATTACAGACACTGGAGAAAATTTTTAAAGAATTTGGTCCCAGTCTAGTAGAAGACATTAAGTATAAGCAAAGCTAATTTAGTTTAAAAGCAAGAGTTCCCTTGAAGTCTGGTTGTGTCTTCAGAGACTGTGTGGCATGGGAGAAACAGTCCTGGACTAGGAGTCCTCATCATATTGGAAGTGCCTAACATAATACCTAGCCCACAGTGGGCCTTCAGTGAACAAAATTAGTTAGGTGAATGCAGTAAGTCATAAGAACTGCTTTTGGTTCTTTCAGAGTGAAGTCTTCTATCTCTGTGCTCTCATAGTACTTTGTACATAAATTTAAGATATACACATGGCCCTGTATTAGTTAACTGCTTGCTACCAGTTGTCAGTTCCCTAAGGACTGTAACGTCTTCATTTTCATTATTGTGGCCTCCGAAATTAGCAGAGTGATTCATCTCAGAGTAAATATTAAATAGCATCTACATCATAGGACTATCATAGAGATTCAGTGAGCTAATACATGTACAGTGCCTACAACAGTGCCTTGAACATAAGAAGTGCTCAATAAATGTTAGCTATAGTATTATGATTACTATATTCTTATGTATACTATTATAAAATAGCATTAACAATGATGTTTACTAAGTATATGAATAGGTCACGATGGGTAAGTCACTTAACCTTTTTGAGAATCAATTATTCCTCTGTAAGGAAGGGAAAGGAGTAACAGTCTCTTGGAGCTGACATGAAGAGCAAGAGAGACTGCAAAGGCAGGAAGAGCTTTCTCAACTGTAAAATGTTATGTAACTCGAAGTTAACATTCTATAAATTAAATTGATTACCTAGAAATTCTGGCAAAATTACCTTGAAATTATCTGATGAATACAGAGAAGTTTAAACTAGTTACCTAGATTGAGTAAACAAAAATAATTTCCATTTCCTACTGCATACTTAGATATCTTTCTCATTACAGTCAGCCCCAACAACTTGACAACTTTTAGCTAGAAGTAACTGAGAAATTTACCTGGATAAAAAACAACATCCCAACAGCTATGGTTGTTCCTAAAGCTAATCCCAAGGCAAACAAGGTGGCAGCAAATGCAGCTAATCCAAATGGAAAAATAGGAAGAGGATCTCTCTGGGCTGCATTCATATCAATCCTTACTGTGTTCCACCCAAAGGAGAGCTATAAACAACAGCAACAGCATGTACTCAGAATACTTGGTTGTAGCAACTGGTCAGACTCTACTGTAACACTTAAAACAACTTCATAGAAAAGATGACAACTTACTGTGGCCAAAGCAAATAAAGCAATGTAGCTGTTTTTAATTAATACCGTAGCTTGAGCTCAGACTGATGTGCTTGGTATCATTCTTAGTTTTCTCAAATGTTACTTTTTTGTTTCCTCAGCAAGTGTCAGGTAGACCCCACAAACATTAATATGCATAAACAACATTAGGACCAATCTAAATGGTAACTGTGCCTCCTCTCTTCTTGTTATTCTACATTACAGTATTCTACCACAGAAACAAGTATAGCCTAGAATCAGTTGTTTCTTCCCTCATGTTTCACAGTGGTTAAAAACTGGTAAAATGCAGGTCAAATATGGCCTGCAGATGTGTACTACCTGGCCTGCATAATGTTTTAAAATATTTAAAAGTTAGGTGTCAGTATTTTAAAATCAGAAGATTTCACGTTTTTAAAAATCCACATTTTTCTGATTATTCTTGAAACACTGAAAGATCTAGCATTACTGGGCTAGGATTTCCAAATACCACAAACTGTTTGATCAAATATGGATTGTCCTCTCCATGAAGGACATGTACTCTCCAGTTTGCCAAGGTCTTGTCAGGTCTGTGTCCCTCATTTACTTTCCAGGTCGCTTTAGGGAATTTTATTTGTGACCCCTGAATTTTATCTCATGACCATTTGCCCATAAACCACTCAATCTGTGACTGGTCTAATTTATTTATAATTTAGGGTGTGCATCTGTTCCATGAGCCACCTTCTGGGGCATGGAGTCAGAAATGAACAAAACAACTACAATTCGCTACGTGAATTGGATGAAAACTGAAGGACTTTGTTGTCTTCTTTTCTTGCTCTTTTTTACTTACTATTCATATCATAACTATTATTTCTGAAGTCTAATAAATTTTATATACAGCATTAAAATAATTGTCACTTCAACCAGAGCATCCAAGGTAAGTTTCCAGAACAAAATCATCTTTTCTCATCTTAAAGACTAAGTCTTAATTTTTTTTTTAAAGGAACCCATATAATGGTAAAACAAAGTCTGAAATCCCCATCTAAATCATGGAAAGCTTAACTCTAAAAAAAACTTCTTAAATAGTTTTGATAACTACCATTTAACCTGGCATGAATGATTTCATAACAAATATTTTCACTTACCCGATTATAAAGCTGTGTGTACATAGTCATAACAAAAATAAAAGCAGCATGGATACAACCCAGTGGTGCTAAAAGAAGAAACAGTGTAAACGAAGCATGATTTTGGTAACCACAACAGTTGTTGATCCAAGGACAATGATGGTCCATCTTCATCACACATCTAGCAAGAAAAATTTACACAAAACATGAGGCAGAAAATTCTGTCTGCTTTAAATAACATTGGTCTTCAAAAGGTCAAGCAAACAGGAATCCAGCATGTCCATGAGTCACAGGGGAATTATACTTCATGGAACAGAAAGAAAAATCTTCAAGAGCAATTATGAACATGACTCCTCTTAAATTCTAAACGGCACAAGAAAGGGCAGGTTTTGTAACAGGTTCTGAGGAAAACAAGTCACCTACAAGTGAGTTTGTTTAAAGAAGTCAGGGGGCCACTGAAAGGTTCATTATAAAGAAATGAGCATAGTTCCTGGTTTTCATCTTCTAGTTTGGAAACACTGTGACTGAAGTGAACTACAACAGAGGTTCCAAATCATTCATGAATCTCCACTGGGATTGATGGGTCTAAACTGACATTTTTAACTTCCTTCTATCCTGTTCTCATAGTTTCCTTTAGATATGGAATCTCTTAACTAAGCAAGCTAATTTCAGAATGTAAGATGTGGTATAATAAACAAAGTCTTACTGTGTTTCTCTTCCTTATTGTTGCTAGATGAAAATGCCCTGGCATCAAGCCAAACTTTATTTGCCTTCAATGGTTCTCTAAACTTGTCAACCAGTGGATATAGCTGTTCGAAAAAAAGGTCCTAGCTGATTTCCAAAAAAAAAAAAAAAAAAGCTTATTTTATATTTTGAATAGTAATTCAGTATTCCTGTTGTTTTCCCATTAAGGTGTCTTTTGAGTTGCGTGTCACTCTGCTGCCGGGGCTGGAGTGCAGTGGCACTCAAGGCCACCGCAGACTCGACCTACTGGGCTCAGGTGATTCTTCCGCCTCAGCCTTCCAAGAAGCTGGAACTGCAGGCATGTACCATCACACCCGGCTAATTTTTTGATTTATTGTAGGGATGAGGTCTCGCCAAATTGCCCAGGCTGGTCTTGAACCTGTGGGCTCAATCCTCTCATCTCTGCCTCTCAAAGTGCTGACTAAGATAAAGGCATGAGCCACTGCGCCCGGCTGTCACATTAAGTTTTTTATATTAAAATGCTTGTGAATATAGGAACCTGGATTCATTTATCAGATTTGTATGAAGTGTAAATGTTTGTCAATAAATAATGGGAAAAGCAGGTCTCTTTTATAAATTAGACTTGGAATAATTCTAAAGTTAGTTAACATGACAATTGACAAACACAATTAATCCTGATGTATGGAAACAAACTGAAGACATAACTTTTTACTTGCTCTTGCAGGGCAAGAGGCAAAGTAAGTGTATTTTTCTAGAAAAATCTTTTCACATGTAACAAAAAATAATGAAATTTATTTACCATTTAGATTGGGAATTTAAGTTTATTAAAATGAAAATTATGAACCTAAGTATTTTCACAATATTTTTTATAAAGCAGTGACCTTGCAGAGAATAAAATTAGAATTGATATAATAGAAAGAACAACAACAAAAAGACCAAGAATAAAGCTGATCAGTCCCCCCCAAACAGCAAGAAAGATACCTGTTACACTTTCTGCAGTGATGTGAACGAGGCGCCTTGTATGCCTGGCAGACTTTACAATACTGGAGATACATAGTATCCTGAGAATTTTCCTTGGCAGCAAAATAGAAACAAAGATACATCAGATACATGAACCCAAGTAAAGGGTGAATAAAGGCTTTCCTATGGTATGATTTTCTTTTATGGGAGGGAGATAGAGGAGGGATAAAATCTTAACTTACATTTCCGTCATTTCATGTGACCAAAATATTTTTAAATAACAAATTTCTGGCAAGAGCAGCATCACTTTCTCAATTACTCAGAAGTGATTTTTTTAAACCCTTTGCACTCGTATGTGCCTTCTGACGAGACATCATCCATTTAGCAAACCACTTGGACCTTAAGAGACTGCTAGTGATTATATAGGACAAACTTATGAAAGCACAAATTTATCAAAAATGTATGTTTCCTTGAAGTTTTCCATTCAAAAACAATGAAAAACCTATATTCCATTTGAAATTTGTCAAGCTTCTGATCGATCAGTTGAGAAGTGGTTTTTAGTAATCACCGGTGAGTTCTTCCACATCATCTTTGAACAACAGGCTGGACAATAAAATACCTACTATTACTGTGGGAGGAAGAAAATGAGACTGCATTGTCTGCTTGAATAGAAAAACATCAGGTGGAAGATGTCAAACAAATTACTATTGCACAACATGTATCAATGAACATGTATCAATGCACGTCTGTGACCGTTTCACATGTTACTATGCAATAGAAAAACAAGATATAAAATTTTGATTTTTGTCATAAGTTTCTCAATGTCCAAAATGTCATTGTAAGCCAAATATCATTGCAATAAAATAATTAGTTCCAAAGCTACTATTTAATATGAAATGATTCGTTAAACTATTTCATAAAACAGTACGATCGAGTTGTTGGTAGGTGACCTGTGAGATCACCTACCCTAACCCTAACCCTAAGGGCAAAGAGACCTTCCTCATGTTCCACCCAAATTCAGCGTCACTAGTTGTATCTACTTACCCAAATCTCAGTAGACAGGGAGGAGTTCAGAAAAATGCAGCTGACAACTTCACAGGTATTTTAGAGTGGGGATTCAAGCATGACTTGATACACTTTCAAAATCTACTCCCTCCTTGATGTTATTACAGTCACCTCCCCTTTCTTGAGCCATTTAAATCACTTCTTAACTAGTTTCATTAACTGTAGTTTCTTTTCTTCTTCTTCTTCTTCTTTTTTTTTTTTTGAGTTGGAGACTGTCACTCTGTTGTCCAGGCTGGAGAGTTTCTTTTCTTTTCTTTTTTTTTGAGTTGGAGTTTCACTCTATTGTCCAGGCTGGAGTGGCACACTCACGGCCACCGCAGCCTCTACCTGCTGGGCTCAGGTGATCCTTCTGCCTCAGTCTTCCAATTACCTGGAACTACAGGCGTATGCCACCATGCCCAGCTAACTTTCTGATTTATTGTAGAGACGAGGTCTTGCCAGGTTGCCCAGGCTGGTCTCGAACCCACAGGCTCAGGCAATCCTCTTGCCTCTGCCTCCCAAAGTCCTGGGATTGCAGACATGAGCCACAGCCCCTGGCCTGTAATTTGTTTCAATCTAAACCATGTATTGTCAGAATAATATTCCTACAACACAACTCTATGTCAGAGCTCTGCTTGAAAACTTCTAAAAACTCCCTAGGGTCTAACAATTCCTCACATATTTGAGACATTCCATGATCCGACTTTGTTTCAGCCTTCTCTGGACTACATAATCTTTTTTCCAGTCACACAGGGTTGTCCAGTTTTAGAATCTGTTCCCACCATTTCTCAACCGGAAATGCTCTCTTCTCCATCTCCTGTGGGAATTCCTACTTCTCCCTTAGGTCTCCAGCTGAAAATACTCAAATTCTTCTAACTTCAACAGCACTCACCCACATTCTACTTTATAGTTTAGTTATTTGCAAAGTGCATCAGTTTCTTCCTTAGGTAATAAGCTTTTTCAGAACATAAATTGTTTCTTGCCCATCTCTGCACCCATTTTGAACAGTACACAACACACAATATACACCAGTGTTTCCCAAATTTTAACATATCCTAATAATCATTATTAAACTTTGAAAACAAAGATTCCAATTCAGTAAGTCTGGTGTGGAACCCAAGATCCTGCGTTTCTAACAAGCAACCTGGTGAAGTCAGAGGACATGGACATTCATAAACATGAACTTTTGACAATTTTTAAGAAGCCACAAATTGATTCACACTATACTTCCCAACGTTGTAATTTCACCGCAATGATTTTCAAACTTTCTCATTGAAACCAACAGTTTCTAAAGTGTTTCTTTTAGTTCTGAAGGATAGGAAAAAAGATCCTATAGCCAAACCACATTGTGTATGGTATGCAGTGTTTCCTAAACCTTTGACTATGGACCCATCCCACACTCCAACTCCATTTTTATCAAATACAGGGAAAGTAGTCACTGAAATTGCTTTGGAAAATGCTAATTTGGATCAATATTTTCAAACAGATATGAAATAAGTCTCTAGGCATAAATGATCAGTGATTAAAGTGATACACATAGTCTCTACTAGGACAAACAGCAGGTTGTATTTGAAAACTAAATGTATGATTATCATTAGAGTTCACTGTCTTAAGGAATTTTTCTTACCGGTTTCCACCCCAGAGGGACAAGGCCAGGACCGACAAACATGGCATTGAAGTAATTATAAAGAATCATGACAGTCCAATTTATCAACATGATGAAATTCACACTTCCTCCAGTTGTATGTAAGGGCCAATACCACAATACAGAGTCAATCATGGCCATTGTAGAACATATTGCTATAACACCAAGGGCTATGATGGGACCCCAGTGACACAGTCTCTTTAACTCGTGGAGATTTTCAAACTTGATAACTGAGCAGAAGGTACCCATTTCGGCGAGGAAGAATGCCTTCCTACTTTTAAATAATTATAGATTTCCTTTTTCTGTGCATACATTTCCATGAGCCACAAGTCCATGTGTGTTCTTTAACTGTCATGCCTTCAAGTTGTGAAATATTAATACAGATTGTGGCATTTTCACTGTTAAGCACTCAAAGCTCTTTATCTTAACTAGGAGAATCCAGTATCTTGGTTTGGAACTCAACCTAAAAAATAAAACGGGAAAGTTCAAAAACTTTATTATATACTGCATCTGTTAACATCAATAAGAACCTGAACAAAAGTATCTCCTGAATGCACTACCTTGGGATGAGTATCTTGTCAAGTATCAAAAAAATCACTTTGACTTATCCAATATATGGTTCAAGTTTGAACGGCATGTACTTCAGTTACATGATTCTAAAACAGTTTTTACTCCTTCCTTTTCAGCTTGTCAGGGGACTGTCACTATCCAATGCTTTGTGAATGATCTCAGAAGACAATTTTAGAGGTGGGAATCAGTGCCTTAGAATTGATCTAGTTTCCTTCATCATAGAACGGAAATGGGCTTAGAGAGGCTAAGTGATTAGACCAAGGTCACAAGTAACAGATGAACCCAGAACAGAAGCCAAGTCATCGACCTCTCTGTACAGAGTTCTAAGCTGCCTCTAACGGAGTCTTAAATTAAACCAAGTATGAGTCAGACATGGGCTACGCCATTTGCCTGCAGTTACCCCTAAAACACAAGCAGACAGTCTATCTGGGCCAAAGAGAAAGGAGCGAGAGTGAAAGCACACAGAGAGTGCAAGGGAAGGAGAAGAGGACAGGGAGAGAGAGAGTGTGAATGTGAAATCAAGACTAAAAGAGGATATGAGTAGGGACTTGAATGAGGTTTGTGGAATAAAAAAGAGGAAGTGGCTCCGGGAAAGCGGGAGCGGGGGGAGACAGAGCGGCGAGTCAGAAAGACGAGGCGAACAGGATCTCAGATACATGGGTAACAGATTTCCACGCAACAGATGCCGCTGCCTTGTGCCTCAGTTTCTCGCCCTTGTTACGGAGCAGAGCGCTTAGCAATAAACATTCACGCAGAGAAGAAACATTCTAGTAAGGGAGGGTTGGTCTCAACGTTCAGGAGACCCTGGCCCAACTCCGGTGGGAAGAATGTCATCAACTTGTCACATTTCCTGCCTTGACTCCCACCTCAGTCTGGTCCCTGGTGCCCGCTCCACAGCCATCGCATATTTGGGGCGACCTGGGCTCACCCGGAACAGATTTTCTCTTCCCCGGATGACTCCGTCATGGGCACCTCAGTCCAGGGCAAGCAGAAAGCAAATCCTGGTCGCGGTAGGCGGGAATGCGGGACCGGTTGCGACCCGTGTTTCTCTCCGCCAGCACCCTCCCAGCGACTCTCCCGCTCAGGTCCCCGGCGCAGTCTCCGTTACAGCTACTTCCGGAGGCCCGTGGCACTAAACTTCCCTCGAGAAGCAAGCTTCAGTGACCAGTAGTTTGGAAAGCCGGAGCCGTTTCCCAGAACACAGAAAGGAAAATGTGCTTTAGTGATTCCCCCATAACACGCATATTATCACAGGCTTTTGGGGGACACTGATCGCGCCGCTTTTCCTTACCAAACTTCTTAATCTTGAAGACAGAGCGGAAAACAAAACGCGCACGCAGCGCAATTTCCGGAGGACCAAGATTGTGACGGACAACCAGGAAGCGACTGGGTTGGGAGCTGTTCCCAGTTCTCTGCTCTGCTCTCGAGGGCACTCCCGGGGTCCCTAAGCCGCGGCCCTCCCGCCCCGCGAGGCCCCTGTCCTGACCTAGGCTTTGGCTTGGCCCAGTCACTTCGGAGTCGCCATGTCGTCCGACTTCGAAGGCTACGAGCAGGACTTCGCGGTGCTCACGGCAGAGATTACCAGCAAGATTGCGAGGGTCCCCCGACTCCCGCCCGGTGAGAGCCTTGCCGGGTCCGGGCCGGGGTGGCCGGGGAGCCGGGAGGTTGGGGGCGGTGGAACGCCGCCTGAACAAGCGTGTCTGGGAGGCTCGAGGCTGGAGTGGGTGGTGCTGGCGGTCCGTCGAAAGATTGGGGCTTGACTTGGTTAAGGGTAAAGAGAGAGCCTAGGTTCGGTTGTGGGGTGCAGTTAAAAGAGCCATCATTTCATTAGGAATCTGAGCCATCTGAGTTTGAATCCCGACTGTACTACCTTGTAATTTGTATAATGTTGGGAGTGTTTCTCTGAGTCTTGTTTTTTCCGTTAGTAAATTATTGAGATGTGAGTATTCAAAGAAAGTGAACGAAATTACCCAGATTATGGATCTGCAGCACACAGTGTTGTGCTAGTAACAATATTTTTATTTTTATATTCGGCAAAACAGAGGTAAGACAGGGTACCTGGATTCAAATCCCAAGTCTGCCTCTTAAAAGTTGTGCCGCTTTAAGCACACAGGTTACGTTTCTTAACCTCTCTCAGCTTTCCTTCTTGGTAAATAGGGAAAATCGTACCTGTCTCATAGGGTCGTTATGAAGATTGAATTATATAACATTTAAAGCCTTTTCTTTGTGTTTGCTGCTATTCTCACGGGTGGTGTTTTTGAACCCCGTTTCTTATTTCTCATCCTTCTTGGGATGTATAACCCAATTCTCTGCCAAACTTGATACAAGATCACTTTTCACACTTTAAAAAATTTCTCGTCTCCCATCTGGATGTGTTTTTGTTTGTTTGTTTTTGTGTTTTAGCATATCTTACTTTCTGTGCCAGACTGTCAACTATGTGAAGGTGAAAGCTGTGTCTGATTTCCTTGGCGTTTATTCGTTGGAGGCTCAGGAAAAATGTTTAGGTGAATGGCCAGGTGAATATAAATATGATATTTTTGTGGCTTTTATTTGTAAGATGTTTCAGGAATTATCTATCTAAATACAAATTTAATTTGAGTGGTTAGTTGCAGATACGATGTTTACTTACTGGTTTAGTTTTGTTAGAGAAATTGAAACCATCATCTGGCTGCTAGACTTGTCCATATCCTAGCTCTGGGGTGTAAAGTGTGGAAAAGGGGGTGCTCACTGATCTGTGGACTGGTAGGCAACTTTACTTTCCCACCTATCAGTCAAGTCCTTGGTACCCGCAGTAACGTCTCCTGGAGTTGTCATTCCTCTTTCCCTTTCCCTACTTTCCCCCAAACTTATATGTTTATAAATAATTTTCTTCATTTATTTCTTTGTTTTTCTTCCTCTCACCTATTTTCTGTTAATAAGGATTTTGCTTGAAGCCAGGATCTCTGAACTTACACCCCATTCATCTCCTGAAGTCTCAGTTAGTTCTGGAGGAGATGGATGATGTCTTAAAGAGGTTTATAAGTCCAAGTAAGGGAACAAGAGGAGAGAACCAATGTAGCATATACCACCAAGCTCTGCTGCCTCAGATTTTTGTGGTAAAAGTGGTTGATGGCCTCATCTCTTCTGGATACGTCACCTCATCTCTTCAGTTCTGCTTTTCTCCACTGCCCAGGATCATCTTCATTTTTGTTGTCATTGTCATTGGAGACTACTTCCTTTGAGTTGAGTCCCGAAACCTCAGAATATCAGGACTTGCAGTTTCAGTTGGATTTTTGCTCACTTTAAATTGTAATTGCTTTTTTTGTTTTTGGTTTTGGTTTTTTTTTTTCAGTAGAGACATTTCTTTGTTTGGGCTAACAACTTTTGGATTGGAAAGCTGTTTTACAAAGTGACAAAGTCATTGTGGGTGCAAAGTTGTAAAAACTATTTCCAAGAAAACAGGTTTTGTTATAAGTGATTTTTTTTGGCCTTTATATTTTAATGTAACAATTCTTACTATATAGAAAGAATCCTTTGAATTAAGTACCTTAAAAATAAAGCCATGCCTTTGCTTAGCTGTAGTATAATGTAAGGCCTAAACACAGCAGCTGTGTTACAATTGAAAGAGACTATATTGCTGGCACTGGAAAATTGCTTATTGACTTAAATAATTGGATAATTGTAATTCTTCAAAATGCAGTGATTACCTTCTTCATAATGACTTATGCTTTCCCCTTTGTAATATGTTTCTAATTGATAAATAGAAAAAGTTGAAAAATATATCCACATAGTTATGAATTTCAGAAGTATGTCTCTGGACTAATAGAAATTAATATATACAACCATGGCAAAAACAGTATGGTAAAAAGTAATTATAATATCTCTCTCTGGGCATCATTAGTGGTTGCAGTGCCCAGCTAAAAGTGACCCAGAGGAGATGAGCTATAATTTGCTTGAGTTATGAAGGTTAAAAATTGGAGCAAACTTTCCAGCCAAAGCTGTTTATTCCCCAACATATTAGCATATTTAAATTGAAGTAGAGTGGGTAGACCTATTGAAATGAACTTTACTCTGCTGTGCATGTGTAATGTAGTAATAAAGTGTTACTTCCAAAGAGAATAGAAAATATTGAATGTTTTAGAACTTTATCTTAAGAAAGGAATTTGATTACTCTGTGATTTGTTTTAAACAATAAAAAGACTTTGTTCTTAACACTCAAGTGTTTGAATCTTAATTAATTTTAGTAATTGAACTGTTGAGATGAATCAATCCTTTCCTAATTAATACTCTATGGCACTGTATTTGAAAATTCTTATGTTTTAATTTTATTTTAAAGATGTGGGGTACAATTCAGGATTAGGTATACAAGTAGTCAATGTACGGGTAAAGTTTGGGCCTCCCTTTGGTCTCCACTTCTCCTGGTTTGAGATTAAGTACCCTTTTTGATGTTATGTGTGCTCCCCCAACAGTATCCCGCTATTGCCTTTCTTATAGTATCATGGTAAATGTTCAGGGTCCACTTATGAGTGAGAACATTGGTACTCTGTTTCGTTTCTGTGATAGATTACTGAGTATTATAGATGCTAAATTATCCAAATTGCTGTGAAGTCCATCCATAATTTTGTCCTTCTTTATGGCTGTGTAATATTCCATCGTGTATATGTACCACATTTTTCTCTTGTCCAGTCCAGTTACAATGGGCAGCACGGTTGGTTCCATGCTTTTGCTATTGTAAATAGTGCTGCAATAAGCATGAATGTGCGGGTATCTTTTTTGTAGAGTGATTTAAGTTCCTCCAGGTATATTCCCAGAAGGGGGATTGCTGGGTCATATGGAAGGTCAATTTCTAGCTCTTTTAGGAATTGCCACACTGTTTTCCATAGAGGTTGAACTAGCTTGCATTCCCACCAACAGCACAGAAGTGTTTCTTTTTCTCTGCATTCTCACCAGCATCTGTTGTTTTTTGTTTTACTAATGATAGGCATTCTTACTGGAGTTAGGTAGTATCTCAATGTAGTTTCGATTTGCATTTCTCTGACGATGAGTGAGGCTGAGCATTTTTTCATATGTTTGTTGGCTGCCTGTATGTCTTCCTAACCAGAGAAGTGAAAGAGATCTTTACAGTGAAAACTACAAAACATTACTCAAAGGAGTCAAAGAAGACACAAACAATTGGAAAAATATTCAGTGCTCATAGATTGGAAGAATCAATATTATTAAGCTGTCCATCCTACCAAAGGCAATCTACAGATTCAATGCAATACTCATTAAATTACCAACATCATTCTTCTCACACATAGAAACAACAATACAGAAATTCATATGGAAACATAAACACGAATGGCCAAAACAATCCTTAGCAAAATCAACAAAGTGGGAGGTATCACACTTCCAGACTTTAAACTGTTTATAAGGCTACAATAATCAAAACTGCCTGGTATTGTACAAGAACAGGCTTATAGATCAATGGAACAGGACTGAGATTCCGGAAGTAAAACTTCAATTTCTCAACTAACCCATCTTCAACAAAGCATCCACCAACAACCACTGGGGAGAGGAAAACCTATTTAGTAAATGGTGTTGGAAAAACTGGCTTATCACGTGTAGAAGAATGAAACAGGATCCCTACTTATCACCATACACAGAAATCAACTCTAAAGGGATCAACTCTAATTGTAAAGCCTCAAACATTAAGAATCTTAGAAGACACAGGAGACACCCTTCTGGAAAATGGAATAGGCAACCAGTTCCTGATCAAAACCCCAAAAACCCATGCCATAAGAGAGAAGATAAACAAGTGGGACCTCATCAAACTGAAAAGTTTCTGCAAAGCAAAAGAAATCAAGAGAGCGGGGAGACAGCCTACAGAATGGAAAAAAAATTTGTTAATTGCTTATCTGACAAATGCCTAACATCCAGGATCTACAAGGGACTCAAATGTGCCAGAGAAAAAAAACAAACAGCTCCATTAAAAAGTGGGTGAAAGACATGTATAGACACTTCCCAAATGCAAATTAATTTTTAATGGTTACTCTTCCATGAGAAAGTCAAGAAATTGGATGAGCAGAAACCACAGCTAATGGTTTATTTTGAGGTTCCTTTTCCTCAGGTGATGGGAGTGAATTCCTAAATGGGGGCTACTGTCTACTGGTACAGAGTTTCTATTACAGTAACCAGGCTTCCTGAAGGATCTTAAACAACATAGTTTTTTGTTTTGTTTTGTTTTTGCAATTAATTTTTTTTTCTTTTTCACAGAGAGAAAAATGATCTGTTGTGAATCCTATCACTTTGTGGCTTACTCAGAAATGTACCAAGAAAGTATTATGGCAAAGTGGTTTGAACTCAGACATGACATCAGATCTGTCTGGAATCCCATTTCTTACCAGATGTGCAATCATGGGCAACTTGCTTAGTCTGTATAGGCCTGTCTCCTCCTTCATCTGTAGAATGGAAGTGAGAGGGTAATAGTTACAACTTTACATTGTCATAGAAATCAAGTGAAATAAAATATGTAATACACTAGCATGGTTCTTACACAGAGAAAGTGTGTTATAAGGTAGATATTAGTGATATTACTGCTACTCCTGAAGACAGCAGCTGGTAAGATTAGCCAGGACCCAGCTCTTCAGATTTTGTCATATTAAACTCTTAAAGAAACTGTGGACTTCAATCATTTCTTCCTTTCTGTTCCTTGACTAGAGTTAGGTGAATTTCTCCTG